CATTTTGATTTCTTTTCTTTTATTTTTGATTGTATTCCTCTTTTTTGAAATCCAAAAAAAAAGTTTTACTTTTTAATTTCGGTAAAGAAATCCTCCGATCCGTAATATGAAAGGTGCAGTATATATGTTGATTATATTTTATTTCAAACAAACGCATTTTTATATTTTAAGAACATTATTAGAATAAATTTAAAAAAATTAAAGAAACCTTCATAGATAAAAGAAACAAATAGAGAAAAAATGAAAAAAACAAAAAACAAATGGAAAAGTAGAAAATAGGACCGGTGCCCCTACTTTGCCGCAAAAATGGCAGGAAAATTATTAGTGGTAGTGTGTGTGCAAGGTTTTATAATTAGGGGATATTTAAAAATAAGTTTCAATTAATAGAAGGTAGAATTGCCTATTTCCCAAATCACAGGAGGTATCAGAGCTATTTCACTTGTTACGAGGGCACAACAAGGAGTCACTCAAAGTACTTGTTGATGCCAGGACGTATCGCTGCCATTGTTTCAGATGAAATTCAATATATTTAATATACTGTTTTAATTTTACATATAGGTTTTAAAAACATTTTGAAAACAGAAAGAATATATATAGGTGTCTATTTTTCCGAACCAAACGGGGGTATCGGAGGTATTTGGCCTGAGAAAAAAATCAACATACTTATTGTTATGATTTTACATTGACCACGTATTAAGGCGCGGGGTCATTTGAATTTCTGAATTCGCCATTATTAGTGCATCATAACGTTAATTCATTTTAGCTAATGTATGAATGGAATCTTCTTGAAAATCTATGGATCTAGTCATCTATAGCTAGGTAGGGAGCATATGTATGTATTTATGCTAATGTATGGAATCTTGAACAGAGAGAAGACTGAAGTGAGTGCAGGGTGGAAGCACGGAATGGAAGAGAAGATGTGAAATATGGTCAGCCATTATTTGTAGAAGAAGAAGAAGAAGAAGGAGAAGAAGACATGCAGTGCAGTTTGCAGGAGCTCAGCTTAGCTTAGTCTGATCCGGGCCTGGCCTTGGCCTAGCTAGCTAGCAGCTATCACGGAGTTCGAGAACTCATGGCCCAATAATGTGAATGTCGAAGTATCGGTTCGCTGTTGTTCGGGAGGGTTCGATTACGATAAATATTGAGATGAACACAAATACCTGGAGTATATACGTATTTAGTTTACACTTTGAAATTTACAAAGGAAGAAAGACCAAAGTAGGAATAAAACATTGAAAATATACCAAAATAGGACTTTCATGTTTTTATTCCCGAAATAGGACTTACATTAGCAAACATGGTCATATACATTACAAAAAAAGTATAGTAATGTGCACATGTACACTGCCACAGTGCAAAGTCACATTACCACAGTGCAAAGTTCTATTTCGGGAAAAAAACATGAAAGTCATATTTTAATACTTTTCTCTATGTTTTAATCTTATTTAGGGTGATTTCTAATTTATAAAGCTCTTTATTCAAAAAAATCGAAAGTACATCAAATAAGGAAAGATAAAAACTTGAAAAAAAAATAATTAAATGCAAGAAATGCTTATAAAATTTAGTTTAATTTACATTTTGTATTTTCACAAACAAAAAAGAGTGAATGATAACAAATTAATATCTCAAATGCTTGTTAATTTTTTAAGTTCATCTACAAAAAATTTAAAATTTAAAAAAATGATTATTTAAATAAAAAATTATTTGTAATTTATCTACACTTGAATCAACTTTTCAAAATAAATTCATTATTTTATGAAGAAATATAAAAACATTATTATTTTTATAATATATTTGTATACATCTTCGGTTCGAGATTTTTCGATATGAGAAGTTAGCTCATACCAATCTCAAATACCGGATCGACCATTCGATAGGATACGATTTGTTTACGATACTTTATCAATTTGGTCTTTTTGATTCAGTAATCTCAAGAAGAAATCTCAATTTGGTCTTTTTGATTCAGTAATCTCAATTTGGTCTTTTTGATTCAGTAATCTCAACCGGATCGACCAATTTTACTGTGTTTGAGAAAGGACTAAGAGCATGTCCAATCAAATTTTATTACAAATGAAGTTAAATTTTCACGTAGGATTATTTAAAAAAACGTGGGAGTCTAATCTTCCATGCAAGTTGCATTTTAGAGTCTCATGATCTCATCTATATGAATAAATAAATGAAAAATAAAGATGAAATGAGTCGGGACGTTCCAAACTTAGAGGGACTAGTCCCAATTTTTTGTTTTCATCGATTGTTATTGTCTGATCTGATCTGATTACAATAAGAATAAATAATAATTAAAAAAATAAATTGAGAAGAACATGGTCTTACTCTCTCTATCTTAAAATTAACTTTCCAGTTTGACTTTTACAGTCAAACTTTTTAAACTTTAATAGCATATTACTAAAAAATATATTGAATTTTCTATATCTCAAATTAAATTTTTTCATTTATTTATTTTTAAAAAGAAGATTTTTTGGGAAACATTACAAAAAATGTAATAAAATACTCTCTACGATATACAAAGTATAAAAAAGGGTACAAATGGTAATGAAAAAGAAGGAAAAAACAAAGAACTACCTTTTTCTTTTAAGGCATATTTTATGTCATCTTTTTATTCTTCAATATTTTAAAACCCAAATAAGTTTTATTTTGAAAAATCAATAAGTAAAATAAAAATTAGTGGAGTATTTGAGAAGCTAGGAGTGAGTTTATGTTATTTTTATTTTATTTATTTTCTTTCACTTCTTCTAGTTTTTTTCAATTCCTTTCTTCTTTTTTTAAGGAAAATGTACTTAAATAGTACTAAAACATAATGACTTTTTCTAAATAGCACCACATGTGTTTTTTTCCCAAAGTAGCACTTTTAGTCATTATTCATTAGTCATTATTCAAGTAAATGTTACACTGGACATTGTGAACATTATTAAGTGCTATTTAGGGAATAAAACAGTTTAAGTACTATTTAGAGAAATGAATTAAGTTATAGTGCTATTTAATCTAAATATTTCTTTTTTTAATATCTAACTCTAAAATTTCAATTCTAAAAGAAAAGAGTCTTAGGGGCTGTTTGGCAACTTCTGAATAGGTAAGTGCTGAACCATTAAGAGGTCTGAACCATTAAGTGCTGAACCAGTAAGAGGTCTGAACCATTAAGAGCTAGTATATTGCTTAAAGAAAACCCCCTAAATAAAAGCAAAACATATGACACATCCTCAAAATAGGACTTCAAACATAAATAACCCTAAATAGGACTTAAATTAATAGAATATTAAAAAAATTATAAAAGCACCACCCGCTCCATTATTGGCCCTGTTCGGCTGTTCCTAAACATTTTCTTAATTAGCCACCCCTCCCCCCTTCTTCAATACTCCGTATATTATAATCGTCGCCGCCACCACCCGATCACAGCCCCATCATCGCCGCCGCCGAATCGCCGCTGCTATGCACTCCCATCTATCTCAGACTCGTCAGCGCTTGCTCAATGCCGATCTCCCTTTTCTCCCCCATCCTCCGTCTTGATTCCATTACAATCATCATCGCCGCCACGCACCCCCACCCCTCTTAGACTCATGGTCGCACTCATGCTACGCCACCACACCTCCATCTCCCTTCTCAAAGCCTTGGTTTCCAAAGTGCGTAGATTCTCTTTTGATCTTTAATTGCAATTTTTTTAACTTGAGTTTTGTTTGGATGCTTTGGGGTGATGCTTGCTGTTGGAAAAATGGTAGTAAACCACTGATAGGGACGGTTGGTCATCCACCCGCCATAAAGGTGGTCGTGAAATGAGTGATGGTTGTCGACAGTAGTGCAGGGTATGTAGTGTGCGGGTTTGACATTATGTCTTTGATTGACATTGTAAATTTGCACATATGACATTTTATATCGGCATTTGTGGTATTATGCACTGCTATATGTGATATTATGCGTTGTCATATATGGCATTATATGTTGTTATGTTTGGCATTATGCCTTTTTTGACACTACAAAGACTATTAATCAAGCACTATGATCGACGATAACAGTGCAAAGTGTGATGATGGTGTTAGCGGCTTGAGACGACTACTCGATTTTCATGTGGCGGTGGAGGCAGCTCCAGGCCGACAACCCGCAATGACCGGTGCAACACGATTTACCATATTTCAATGTTTTAGCAATGGTATCAGCAGCACCACCAATTGAAATGATGATTTATTCGTCATTGTGCAATACAAAACGGATCAGTATGCGAGATTTCATATTATACTTGTGTGTATGCTTGATGAATGGTGAGTTACTTTATAATTTATGTCGGCGATGATAGTGACAATCAACGATAGCAATGGTTAGTTTTAGTATTGGTGGTGCGGTAGTCCGGCGGCCGGTGGGGGCAGAGCAGGGCAGCGGTATGGAAGCATCGGCATGAGGTGGCAACGGAGGCAAGAGGCTCCAACGGTGGTTGCGGGAGGTTAAGGAATTGGAAGTGAGCCGTTGTTGTTGTTGGAGGTGAGCCGTTGTTGCTGAATTTTATTTAATTTTTGAAGTTGCCGGAGATTGGGACTTGGAGATAGAGTGCATGGGCCTAAATTAAGTTTTGCAAAGTGTTAATTATGCCTGTTAAAAATTTGGAGCCCTATTAATTAATTACTCCTATTTAGAGGAGTTTAAGTTTCAATTCTTATTTTGGGGATATGATATATGTTTTACTTATAGTTTAGTCCTTTTCCCATATTGCTTAACTATTCAGAGGCAAATGTCTGATCAATTCAGATAAGAGGTCTTAACCATTCAGACTCTGTATAATACTTAACCATTCAGACATCTGAACTATTAAGAGGCTGAAACAAACAGTCTGAACCATTCAGACATCTGAACTATTAAGAGGCTGAAACAAACCGTACTTTAATGTACAACTAATGTACAGGAGTAATTGTCACGGATTTGTCTTGAAAGGCCCTTAAGGCCCTAAATTTCAGTATTTCGCAATAATATATACACACACTCCACAAGCCCACTTCTCTCTCTCTCTCTCTCTCTCTCTTTCAATAGTCTACAAAAATTCATCTTTCCATCCACAATCTCTTCATCTCCGCCGGCCGGCGGTGTCTACACCACAAATTTTTCTAATTCCCGCCTTCTCCGATCACCGATCTCCTTAGGTATATACACTGAATATATACGCAACTTACCGTGGCCGGCTTTGTCAACGCCGTATGTAATGGCGGCGTTGATGGTTGAGAACTTCGAAGGAATAATGGTGCGCGGCGGCGTGGACTCGCCGAATAAGGCGCCGGCCCCTTTTCTCACAAAGACATTCCAGCTCGTCGACGACCCCACCACCGACCACGTCGTCTCTTGGGGAGAAGACGGCGCCACCTTCGTCGTTTGGCGGCCGCCGGAGTTCGCACGTGACATCCTCCCCAAATCTTTCAAGCACAACAACTTCTCCTCCTTCCTCCGACAGCTCAACACATACGTACGTACGTCTTTATCCGCCCACTTCTTTTCTTCTTCTTTTTTTTTTTAAAAAAAACAATGTTCTTTTTGGAGTTTCGCTTACTAAATTTATTTTCTTGATTCTCCGGCGGCCGGCCGGTCATGCTCAGGGCTTCAGGAAGATAGTGCCCGACAGATGGGAGTTCGCCAACGACTTTTTCAGGAGAGGGGAGAAGCACTTGCTGTCCGAGATCCACCGGAGAAAGACTTCTCTTCCGCCGCAAGCCGCCGTCGGCCACCACCACCTCAACTACCCCATCGCTCCGCCGGCGTTCTTTGCCGGTTACCCAAACCGGCCAAGCATTTCGCCGCCGTCGGACTCGTCGGAGAACCAACTGCCCGCGACAACCCCGTCGCCGACGACGAAAGGGAACGGGAGCAGTCTGTGCTGCGACTCGGCGGGTTTCTCCCCCGGCGAGTCGATGACGGCGGCGCTGGCGGAGGACAACGAGAGGCTGAGGAGGAGCAACCACATGCTGATGTCGGAGCTAGCCCACATGAGGAAGCTTTACAACGACATTATCTATTTCGTCCAGAACCACGTGAAGCCCGTTGCTCCAAGCAACAACCTCTGTTCTTCTGACTTATTCCAACCTCCGCCGCCGGGGACGGAGGCTCAAATCATCACCTTCCATCAACAACCCGTCAACCGCCATCCCAAACGAGTAGTAGTCGGCATTCCTAACCAGATGAATACCGCCGGCGGCGTCTGGGCGGCACCTGCCGGAGAGGTGGTAGCGGAGGAGGGTGTGTTGGGAAGGACGAAGCTGTTCGGGGTCCCACTTGAGTCAAAGAAGAGAGTCAACTCCGATGCGTTGGATCATCGTCGTCGTCGTCATCATCCCAATAAGGCTCAACGACTAGCGGTCGTCTCGGGAAAAGACAAAGGCCACTTGCGGTTGAGTCTTAATTAATTAGCCTCCTCCTCATTTTATTAGTAGATCGTCTTAACTTTCACTAATTAATCACCTTAAATCCTGATTAAGAAAGGCCAATGGCAATCAGGTTTCCTAGCTAGCTTGGTTTTAGTTTTATTTCTTGTTCATTTAGCATTAATATCTCACCTTTTTTGTTTCAGATGGTGAGATAATTAGAAATGCTTTGTTTTTTTTAGTGGTTTTTAGTTTATGAGTGAGTAAATATACATGGGAGCACAAATATTTACCCTTCACTTTTTGCTATTAAAATTTGAGAGGGCGCTAAATATCATCATATTGTTTTTATTCTTCAATATAGTACTTTTAGTCAGTTTTCATTAGTTATTATTCAAGTAATAATGTTCACTATCGACCAAATAGTGTCAGTACACCTCGTAGTTTGCAAAACGGACATCAATACTCCTTCTGTTTTCAAAATGTATTTCTAAAGTCCTTGTGGTTTCAAAATGCTGCACCCGTGCTCACTCTGATAATTTTCTGGCCATTTTTCCAGCGAAAAAGGGGGCGTTGGTGCATACTTTTTAAACCATTGGGGGTATCAGTGTTGATCTTTATTTCTCACATATTTTTTGGATTTTCCATTTTTCCCTTTTTTTTGTTTCATTTATTAAAAAAGGTTTTTTAAAAAATTATTTTTACAATGTTCTTAAAATTAAAAAATTATTTTTGTTTGAAAAAATTAACATATAATGCATATTTACGTCTCAAATTAACAATTGTTGTTTTTTCTGAAAAAAGTACGGAGTATTTTTTTTACTTCAAAAAATGAGGAATAAAATAAGAAGTAAAATTATACAAAAATAAAAATGAATACCCTTTTTAGACATCTCATATCTAAGGACTTTTTTATCCATGCGAAAATTTTTTTTTGTATAAGACTTTTTTTTGCGTATTTTAATTTTTTCATTTTGTTTTTCCATTTTTTATTGTTTTATTCTAGATTTTTTTTAACTTTTCAAAAAATTATTTTAAGTAACAAAAAGTGAAAATGTTTAATTTGAGATAGATGTAATGTATGTTAATTTTTTACTTTTATTTTTATTTCAAACAAAAAAAATTAAAATTTTTAAAACATTATAAAAATTAAAAATATATTTTAGAAAAAATTCTACAAAAAGGAAAAAGAGATAAAAAAATATTTAAAAAAAGGGAAAACACAAATAATGAACGACAATAAGAAATGAGCACTAAGGCCCCCTATGGTTTAGAAATGATGTGCCAATGTCCTCTCTTCGCCGGAAAATGGCCGGAAAATGATCAGAGGGGTGTGGGTGCAACATTTTGAAACCATGGAGACTTTAGAAATAAGTTTCGAAAACAAAGAGGGGATTGGTGCCAATTTTCCAAACCACAGGATGGAGCAGAGCTATTTGGTCATTCACTAGCTATTACAGGACATTTTTTCCTTCTACGCATTATTAAGTGTTATTTAAGGAATAAAAAAGTTTAAGTCTTACACTGGGAAATGACTTAAATTTTAGTACTATTTGGTGCAAATATTTCTAAATTTTAGTGTTAATGTTTACGGAATTAAATTGTAACATTTAAAAATTATTCAGAAAGATGACGTTAATCACACACATGATTCCAAAGTGCGAAACCGTAGACATGTTAAAAGATGTACACCAAACATTGTACTCCGAATGTCATAAAATTTTCTGTATTCACAAAATAATTGAACCACACTTTTATGGAGGATATTCGTAATTATATCTTGTTAAATTGTGAGAAATTAAACTCGGAATTACTCCATAATTCACGCGAAAAAAGGGCAATAATAATTTAGGTATGAACCCGTAGTATTAGCTTTTTAGTAGTTCCTGGTTTTTTCCTTCTTCATTCGTATTTGTTGACTTCTACTAATTATTTTTGTTTGTATTTTTTGTTGGATAAAAAAGGGTAAATAAAAATAAAAATCAGTTGGGAGTGAACAGAAGGTGAGTACAAAGAGGGGCTGGGAATCTGATCACCACCTGAAACCATCTGCCACATACAAAAACAATATATTTATTTTATTTTTATACTGTATTTTTTTTTATATATGGTCTGTTGATCAGATGATAAAAAGATGATCAGCAGGGAGTAGTGTTTTTCTGATGAAACGCATTAAATGGATTTATACGTACCAAAATGTCTCCTTCCCCTTCTGATCTTATTTTTTTAGCTCTCGTTTCGTTTTGGGTTAAAAAAAAGTGAGACAAAAGTACCAACCTCCTCCACCCCCTGCCTTTTTTACCATTTATCTTTATTTCTCAGATTTTTTTTTATCTCTTTTCTTCTTACAAATTTAAAAGATGGAGAAGAGAAAGAAAAAAAAACTCATCTGTAAACATGTTAGTTACTACATTAGTTAGTGAATTCCAAGGAATGATGATTATTATTATAGAGTCATGATTATTATTATTGTGCTAATAATTACTCAATTATAAGGTATGTTTTGTTGGGATGTCTTTATTTCCAGGTTGGGTACGGTTTAATTTGGAGGATCTGACTTTATATATCCATTTCTAGTTTACATATTTACCGATCCATCTCATGTCATTATAATAACTTACTAGTTGTGGTTTCATTTGAGATCGAGTTCGTGCAGTGAACTTATTCTAGAGCAATACATACTCCGTTTGTCTTGAATTTAAGATCGTTAACACTATATATGTTTGTGATGGGTGTAATCCACCCAAGCCATGACCCGGGTAAGGCTCAGCCAAAACCACTCGGGTAAGATCCATGTACTGTACGGCAAGATTGTTTGGAGAATTAGTGTAATATGTCAAAATGATGTAAGATCTCAGAAAAATCAAATCAAATCACTTAATACTTAAGACTATTCTGAAACATATTTTATACTTTCCTTTTTTAAAGAAATAAATATGTACCCCGGCCCCTCCATCCCTTACAACCCTTCTTCATTCTTGTTTCACCCGTCCAAAAAAAATGTTTCCAATTTATATTAAACAACATCTTTACCCTTAGGGTCCGTTTGGTATACGGAATTGGTGGAATTGGAATTGAATTGGAATTGGGATTCCATGAGATTCAATTCCATGGAATTGAATTCACCAACTTCAATTCATTTTTTGCACTATCAATTCCAAATCCACATAATATTTGTGCTACTAAACACCAAAATCGGAATTATAGTCCTAAATTCCAATTCCATAATTTGAATTCCTTGTACCAAACGGGGCCTTATTAATTTTTATCATATATATCACATCATATTTATTGATTAATAATCTAATCAGATCATGACATCCTACTTTTATTCAGTACATCAATGATATTTTTGAAAACTGAACGTAAAAATATTTCATAAATCCATTAAAAGTCTAAAAGAGAAAATTTTTAAGAGACAGAAAGAATAGTTAATATTATTGTTTCTCCTTTTTCTCTGTCTGGATTAATGGTCCATTTTCTCCATCAAGATTCAATTTTCACCTTTCTCATGTACATGTAGGTTTGGACATAAATATCTTTCCCTTCATTAAAATTTCAAAGAACCCGCATTACCACATACTTCCACATTTTTAGTAAGGATATTTTGGACAAAGGGGAATACTACGTGCCTATTCGGCCATGTTCTTTTCAAATTATTTTTTACATATTTTTTATTCTTATTGAAATCAGTTCAGATCAGAAATAATTTTAAATATAACTACATTCTGATCAGATCAAATCAGATCAAAATTTATTCTAATCAAATCAAAATGATTCAAATATGATGAAGAGAACATGACCTAGTGTAGGAACATAGGTATGATGGTCAATTTCACATCTATCTTGTGTTGTTACGTGTAGTCATATAAGTGTCCTATATATATGCATGTATAATCAATTCAATGTTTTTTGGTGTACATAATATATACACACACATATATAAATATACACACATATTAACGTAGTTATGGAAAGATGGCCAAAATGATGATAGATAGGCATATATGATTAATATATGTATGCAACGTTTCAATCCACCATTACTCTCTCTCTCTGGAATAATATTTCTTCTCTCTCTATGTACTCTCTCCGTCCAATAAAACTTTTCTCTTTTCTTTATTCATCCGTCCCATAAAACACTTCTTATTTCTATTAAAAAATCACTTTTACCCCTTACTTTTTCATACCCTACTACCTATCACATCATACCTTTTTAATAATAATCTACACATCAAATCATACTTTTACCCATCACATCAAAGGACATTTTTGGAAATTCAATACCAAAATACACTCTCTTAAATCTCTTCAAAAAGCAAAACATTCAATGTTTCATGCGACGGAGGGAGTATATCATAGTAGTGGATGGGATGGGATGGTGTTTTTGACTGGTTGGTAAAAAATCAAAGTTGAGGACGTGCCATCTTTTTTCTTGGCCTTTTACTTTTTTTTCCTTTCTTCTTCTTTGCTTTCTAGCTACTTTGCTTCCCCTTTTGTCCCACCTGTAAAATATAATCCACCAACCTAATAACGCTACGTATATTCCTTTGGCATGCACTAATTGCCTTGAATTATTCCTAATTTCTGCCCATTATTAGAAACCCGCGCCCCAAGAATATAATCATCCAAGATATATGAGTATGGAGTCTATAACCCCTTGGACCAATTGCATCGCTGACATCTGCATCGGTACATAATAGATGCGTATAATTAGCTAAAGCTCTTTCAATTTATTGTGTCATGCACGGCTAGTCCTTCAAATTTAAAAATTCTATGAATAATATATAGTCTTTCAAGTCATTTTACGGTTCGTGGTTGGTCCTTCAATTTTGAGAATTACATGAATAGGTCTTCAAGTAACGTTATCGTTGCATTATTGGTCCTTACGTTAATTTTGCTGTTAATCCATGCATTTTTATATATTTTTCAGTTTAAGTACATGTGATGAACTCCTTGTTTTTTTCATATAATTGAACCATATTTAATATAGGTTTATTTTTAGTAATAATAGTTACTCTTACTTTAATTACTCCAATCTTTTTTTAAAAAAATACTCCGTAATTAATTTTTGCTTTTATTAGTTTAATTTTATTAAAAAAAATATTTCTCCGCCTTAAATTTTCTATCAATTTTTTTTTATAGTCAACTAGGTTGAATTTTTTTACCAATAATATAATTCAATTAAAATAGATATACAAAAATTATGACTCAATTCTATGAGAAAGAGAAGGTTTCACACGTGTATTTATAATTATGAAAAATGAAAAAAAATGCATGGAGTAACAACAAAATTAATGACCAACCACGCAAAACTAACATGATTTGAAGGACTATCCGTGAAATTTTTGAAGTTAAAAGACTAACCATGCAGCGCTTACATGACTTAAAAAGTTGAAAGACTATTTGTGAAGTTTTCAAAGTTAAAGAATTAACTGTGCATGATATTATGATACAATAACTTGAAGAATCAATAATGGTGGGATTCAGCCAATATAATTAGAACACCTTTTATTGTAAGAATTTAACACTAGCCAGCCATGTAGCTAGCTAGGTGCAGTGGAGGGAGCGTAGCGAAAACAACCGTATTGGAGAATGACACAAGCTTTGGAAGTAGGGAAAGTAAAAGAAGAAATGAAGGAAAGAAGAAGAAATTGCAAGCGTGACTCTCTTTTTTTTTCAAATAAGTAAACTAAAACAGTTTCCATGTATGGTTGTTCAATTTTTATTGTTCATTTAGTCTTTTGATTGCACTTTTACTAACTTGACAATTTGTTTTTCTTTGGAATCTAAAAAGTCCTTTATTGACAATAATGTGAAATCCATTACATGTAAATAAAAGAAGATGCACTTACATACGTGTACCTAAAGTTGTAGAAGAATCCCTCATGCCACATATTGCTTTCTCTCTATCTTTTCTATTTTCCCTTTCTTTTTTAAAATGTGCAATCATTTTGAATTGTGCTTTTGCCTTGTTGTAAAATTAAAAATTTGAACTAATTATATGGTGATATGATAATAGATTATTACTTATATCATTTATTAATTAGTATTCTTTATCACGGAGTATTTTATACTAATCAATCTTGTCTAGGGTTTAGTATCGGCCCGAACCCATTCAGTTAACTAGCGTAGCTTTACAATTTTTATTACTTTATATTGTAATCCTTTTCCGTTATTCTAAAATCAATAAAGAAATATCAAAACCCATTTTTTTTAAAAGATAGCCCATTTTTTCCATATTGAATTTGCTACTTTTTTATTTTCAAAGTAAGATTTAACTATTTAATTTTTTTTTCATATTTCATATTCCAGAGAAACAGATATGCGACAGACAATATTTTCGAGAGCATAACTTAGGATCAATCCTAGCAAGGACAATGAGAGTGGAGTCCCTGTAAATACTACTACTACAACAACAGATAATTTGACGGGATTCACAAGTTTTTCTTGGGTTTAGTGGGATTGATTGTGGAATAGAGAAATGGTAGAGGAGATTGGTTGTGGAGTGAATGGATGTTGATTTCATTAGGCATTGTCCCAATCAGATAAAGCCAGTTCTTCAAATCAAAAATTGATTAGGTTTCCAATGTTTGATTTCTTTCATGTATGTGTGGATGGATAATCTTCAATACACTTTGTTAATCATGCAAGAGGATAATAATTTAATTGGAGGCCAATCCAATCAAACCTGAGACGCTATGGAAAAAGACACACTACTCCCACCAGTGCTTAATTATCACTCTCACGGGGAAACAAATTAAAGTGCCCCCTATTTGGAATCAATAATTATTCTGAGGCGATAAGAGAATCGACAAATAGAGAGATGAGAAGGGATTAGGAGACTTGTAATATTGTAGATTGATTGATTTTTTCCAAATGGGGTTACATCTAGGAAATGAAAAATTCTAACCTTAATAAATGCAGAAAACCTAGGCTGACAGTTTAATAAAACTGGTGAGGAAAAGAACCGTAAAAAACCGAAATCTCAGATGAGCTTATAATTTCGTTCACTTAATAGAACTTAGATTACAACAACAACAATAATAATAATAAACACTACTACTAAATACTCCCTCCAGTCCTAAAAAACTTTCCTGTTTCTAATCAAACATTGACACTCTTTGACCATAAATTGTGAAAAAAGTATATTTAATTATTATAAAAATTCAATAACTGGGTTCATCATAGGATATACTCCCTCCGTCCCAAAAAGTCTTTCCTGTTTCATTTTTTGCGCATCCCAAAAAACACTTCTATCCCGCCTTGAATGCCAAAAAAACTTTCAAAATAACTTCTACCCACAATAAAGAAGAAATGTTGTAAATTTTAGGCATTTTAGATGTCGGTAGAAGTGTTTTATGGGATGCGCAAAAAATGAAACAGGAAAGACTTTTTGGGACGGAGGGAGTATATAGTTTTGATATATCAAATTTTTATATTATTTATTTATTTAGATTATGTTTAATTTATGGTAAAAAATGTCACTATTTAACTAAAAAAGTTAAAACATGAAATGTTTTTTGGATGAGAGAGAGAGTAAATACAATAACTAAAATTATATAATTAGATATCCTACTTCATCACCCATATCACTCACATCTCCTTAAAAACTCATCTTGCCTTCAAGATAGAGGCTCCCATTCCTACTTTTGGACCAGTGAGAAACTGATGAACTAAAGAATTGAATATCTCAACAAGGTGACCAATCTTCATGTGGGCGCTTGTTTGAGTCTTTTATCGTTTTCCGATTGGATTTCTTTTGCTTTTAATTTGTTCATCGTTCACTTAATAGGGTGACCCATATTTTGGAATAAATTCCCGCAGAGGGAATATTTGGAACATGCATTTCCTGAGAGGGAAAATCGGCTTTAGTAAAGCCGTTTTTTATTATTTTTTTTTGAAAATCGGCTTTCACAAAGCCATTTTTTGTAAAAAAAAATTAAATAAAAATTGGCTTTCACAAAGCCGTTTTTTGTAAAAAATTTATTTTTAAAAAATGGCTTTCATAAAGCCGAAATTTTCATTCCACAAAATTGCGCAGATGACAGATTTCATAAACCTTTTTTTTAAATAAAAAATAAATATTTATTATGATTCAATATTTAATTTGTTAAAAAAATCAATCAATAGAAATTTAATAAAGAGAAACTTGTTTTTTAAACGAATAGTAGGCAATATTGAAAACATAAATATATTAAAACATCAACAGCAAATTACATTCTCAACATCTGAAATAAACAAGAATTACAATACCTTCCCTGATACAAACTAAAAAATTATAAACTAAATTCATCTCCTTGCCCTGAAATCCATCTCGCTCTGGTATCGATTGCGTTGACGTCTCCCTAAACGTGGAATCTCATCTGTTGGCCGTTTGGGAGGTAGAACCTTAAAGCTTCCAACATCCAAATTTTGAGGGAAAAGAACATGTTGAAATTTCGGATTTTTTTTTTTGGCTTTGTAAAAGCCAAAATCTTGCCTCCCTTTTTTAAAATTTCAAAATTCAAATTTTTTGGCTTTGTAAAAGCCAAAATCTTGCCTCCTTTTTTGAAATTTCAAAATTTAAATTTTCTGGCTTTGTAAAAGCTGAAATTCTGACAGCTTTTTTAAAATTTCGAAAATTGTATTTTTTTGATTATAAAATCCGAAATATTGATTGTTTTGCGTTTTTTTTCTCGAAATTCTTCCCTTTTTTTTGGCCTCCAAAATTTTATTTTCAAAATTTTAAGTCTTTTGGCCCTAATTTTTTTTTTTGCGAAAATTACTTTTTAAGTAATATAAAGTAGAGTTACATGAATAAAAAAATTAAAAGAACAAAAATATTTTAAGTAAAAGAAAGTAGAATCCATTATATGACCCAAAAATAAAATATTACAAATTACAAAAATCCATGATTACAATAAAATTAATTAAATCCATGATTGAACCAATAATCCATCACCGGGATGTTATCACCACCCAAACCGCGTGTGTCAAATTGTGTCCCACCAAAAAGATCTTCTTGGGTACTTTGTCCGGGTTGAGTGTTGTCCGTTTGGGGGAAATATGGACCAGTCTCGACCTCGTCAGCATCAAACTCATCTTCGTCTCCATGCATTTCTTCATCTTCGTCTTCAACAAGCTCAACTTCGTTGTGGTCAACATTTTCTAAAGCTTTGCTTAGGCTGTCTCGAACCTCTGCAGCAACCGCTCCGGGAACTTTACCTAGTCGACGCTCCGCTTTCTTTATTGTATTCACCTGCAATAAAAAAATCATTTAGTGATGTATTTATTTTATTATAAGTAAATATTTATAATTTCTAAATTACCAAGAATGCAAGTTTGGTAGAAGTATTTTCAGATCCCTCTAGAGGTCGATGATATTGCATGTATACATATATTAGTCAATGCATGATCTATTTTTTTCAATTTATTTTATGAATATTTATCTTACGTTTCGGAACTGCAAGGAGTCAAGTTGATTCCTAAAGTAGCGTACATTTTGCCTAGGAGAGGCATTGTACATCTTGGTCTGTCTCCACCTGGATATTAATAAATGTATATGAACTAGATATAAAATAAGAGAAAAAAGTTATAACCTCGATAATCTAAATTAATGTAAATGAATACCGTGCACCAAATGGGTCGTCTTCTCGATAATCTAAATTAATGTAATCAAAGCCCATGACGGGGAGTCCATCAATCGGAAGTAAGCTCAAAATGGATTTATTCAGATATGATGGCCACTTATACATTCAATGAACACACCAAATGAGTGTTTTTTTCAAACACCAAAAAAACTGACAAAACTAGCAAACACTATACATTATAATCACAAACCCATTGTAGTAATTACAACAAAAACAACAAAACAAAAAGAGTTGCTTCCAATTAAGGCCATTGCCTAATCACGCCGTCTTGGACTGCAGTTTCTTTCTGGTAAAGAACATGAAGAACCGAGGGAAGAACGACTTTTTCTTCTTCGTGGCAGTCTTCACTTCAGGAGATGAATATGGCATGCTGTTGTTTTGATGCCCATATGGTTCTTCGCGTTCTATTCCATTATTGTCGTCGGCTTTGGACTCTTTTCTATCTGCAAAGCTTAATATTGGGCTGATGGTTCGGTTCACGGGTGCAGTAACCGATTCATTGGCTTTTCGTCTTTGCTCATGCTCAGCCCTCCATCTTCTGAGCTCTTGTTCCACAGCCAGCTTCCCTTGTTTGGCTTTCTCTGCCTTCTCTAAGGCAACCCTTAAAGCCTCCTTTCTTTCACTTTTCTCACGATTGACTTCCTCCAGCTTCTTCAGGCTTTTCAACTCACACTCCTTTGCCACCTCAATTTGGGAGATAGAGGCGGCAATTCTCCGGTTAGCTTCCTCTTCTGCTTCGTGCGCCTGCTTGCTGAGCTCATAGTACTCGTCTAGAGGAAGCGTGACCAGGTTCGGCGAATCTTGACCGTCGATGATGCTTTGACCGCCGGATTGACTTTCCTGCAGAGCGTTGATGGCTGAGAGTGCCAGTCTCTCTGATGCTTTTGCAGCTTCTATCTCCTTTTGAGCAGCTAGTAACCTACTCTCCATGGTTCTAGCCCCTGCTTTGGCTTGCTCTGCTTCTTCCTCTGCTTTCCTCAGCTCATCCCGTGCTGTTTCGGCAAGGGACTTTGCCAAGTCAGCCTCTTTGGCTGCCTCTTGAAGTTGCTTTGGAAGCTCGGCCAGCCTCTCTCTGGCTTCTTTCTCCTTCGTCCGCGCAAGGGATACCTCAGAGACTGTCCTCTTCAGCTCAGTCTCTAGAGACAAGACGGCGATGGATGCCATCCCTTCCCTCTGTTGAATGGCGAAAAGTTCAGACTTTTCCGTTTCCAGTTTTGACCTCAGCAAATCGGCTGCCACTCTCAATGCGTTCACTTCAGCCATTGCTTTCTCAATGCTGTGTTTCACCTCTTCCAGTTCCCTCCTAGCTGAATCTGCCGCCGCTTGCATTTCCATGCGAGTGGTTCTTGAACTTATCTCTGAGGGCCCGTCTTCCTCGGATTCTGGAAGCTTAGAGTCCATGTAAGTTGAGAATTGTGATTTCAGATCAAGCAGCAATGCTGAAGCAGTTTCAAGATTTGATTTCAGATCCTTTGCAGACTGAATCTGCTGTTTTGCCTTCTCAACCTCCTCCCCAGCTTCTCTCACTTGTTTCTCCCAGTTAAGGATGTTTTCTTCTCTGGCCAATGCTGCCCCTAGTCTGTGTTCTTCTGTCTCCATATGCGAAGCGTGCGCGGCTTCCAAGGCTTCCTTCAAGGTTATGGCTTCAATAGTCAAATCCTCCACCGTCTTCTCAATCTCTTTAGACGCATAAACTGCCTCCTCTGCCCTTTTGACTGCTTCATCCCTCTCAGAAACCAAGAGGGAATAATCTGCCCAGAGTTGTTCCAGTTCGGCTCTCACAGTCTCCATCTCCAAAACTGCAGCTTTGTGCCTGGCTTTCGCAACCTCAAGCTGCGCTTTGCCGGCAATGCTGGCTTCGTCGGCGATCCCTTGCTCAATCTCTTCCACTCTCAGCCTTGTGAGCTCAAAATCTTGTCTTGCCTGTTGCTCCTCCGTGTGCGCTCTCTCAAGACTAAGCTTCAGTTCTTCTACTGCTCTTTTGGTGCTGTCCAAATCCTCCAGAACCTGCATTTTTTCCTCTTCTGCAGCCTCGCCTTGTTTTTTCAACAATGGGATCTCCTCCAGCACTTTGCCTAGTTCTTGATCAATAAACTTTCGCCTCTGCATATTGACAAACCCCAATAAAGGCAATAAGTCAAAAATCAAACATCCATAAACAACCTGGTAAGGTCCCACAAGCTGGATCGCTTCCAAACATGCATACCTCAGATGTCTGGGCTCGATGAGCTTTCCAGTCAACAATGCCCCCAAATTTAGATACGGCTTCCTTCACTGATTCAAAAGGCGCCGTTGTGTCAATTTGAACCCGGTATGTTTGGGCATTTTCACTACTAGAAGGACTGTTTTTAGATAGCTCCCAAGTTGTTGTTTCTGGACCATTATTATTGTCTCCCTCTGTCTCCTTTGCTGTGCTATTGGAAGGCAATGCCATTGGAATATGTGGACGCTGATCAAAAGTGCCATTTGCATCTTCTGGTTCATCGTCTTCCAAAGGCTCTAGCTTTGAACTATCTGAAGTGGAGACTTGCTGCATCTTTTCTTCATGTACTATAAGTTTGCTTGATTCAGATGAGCTGTTTCCCTTGTTGTCTTCATAAGCTGTTCCAGGATCAAAAGAGCAGTTCATCGATGGGGTATTTCCGTTTACATTTTCCATCAACCAAATGGATAGAGGGAATCAATTTGCAGCGAGAATCCTGATACACATTTATGAAGTACGTGAGAGGAGAAAATTTGGGGGGAAACCCCATTAAACGAACTTAAATCGGTGCGTATCAATGCTAAAGTGTCCTAAGCAACTTGCGAATTTCAGATCCTATACAAAATTAAAAGCCAAAAAGCCAGTTTACAATAAACTTAATGTTCAAGCCTTCCGGAGGCAGTACCGCTTTTACATTTTTTTTTAAAAAAAAGAACTCCAAATAGCAGACACAAACATCTCATCTTACCAAAGAAATAAGATTAAGGGTGTGTGTGAATACGCAGACAAACAAGGTAAAGAATATCAACTAAGGTTGGAGCATAAGGTGAATGAGAATTAGGTTAACTTTATCATCTTCCTCATAAAAATTGAATACATACATATATATAAACAAACAGACAATTAGGATGAGTCCTTTATATCTTTTGCCCACAATTTTGCACATCAAAGTTGGCCGCCAATTTCAATAATGAAATCCCTGATCTCAAATAAATAAAGAAATAAATAAAAATATTCCCAAAATTGGCAAAGAACAAGGGTTGGGGGAACCAGGAATGAATCGGGCATCCAGTTTTTCTTGAAATCAAATTTTCCAAATAAACAAGCACCTTTCTAACTTTCCATAAACATGAAGAAAAAGAAGAAGAATCACGTGAAAGATTTAGATCAACTGCGAAGGTATATTGAAGGGGAAAAAACAGGAATTTACAGAGAACAATTCTTGAGGATTAAAAAAGAAAAAGGTCGAAATAATAAAGGTGATCAAAGAAAGAAAGAAGATACCAAGAATCACTGGAAGCACCACGCAGAAGTCAAAATTCTAACGCTACGAAAGGAATCAGTCTCTCCCTCCCTGGCGCCTCTTGAATCTCTCTCTCTCTCTCTCTCTCTGCATATAAGAAAGAATCAATTCAATTCTTTTTCAAATTTTACAGTAGAAAGAAGCTAAGACAAGTCACTGCATTAAATCATGAAATCCCCGGGAGGGGAAAATTATATTTACCTCCATCCTCAAACTCTATTCAGAAAATACTCAGATTCACGTCATCACAAACTTTACAAATTTATTATTTGTGAATTTTAATAAAAAAAATTAAGTAGTTCAAAATTATTTTAGTCAAGGGGACCGACCTATCATTGCTCAACTTTAGTTTTCCGGTTTAATCAAATTGTTTTCAATTTATTCTCCGTCCCGAATTAGATTACCCCATTTGAACTTGCAAAATCTTTTACTTTTGAAATTAAAAAAATATAGGTTACATACTTAAAAAATACAGCAAATGTTTTACAAAATAAATAGTTACAAGAATGTTTTATTTTATCAAATAGTCAATTAAACAATGAAAACAAACAAAAAATATCGAGTAGCCAGTCTATTTTGGTACAGAGAAAGTATTTGATTGTAAATATAAAATATAAAAACTTAATTTATATATTTAAAATTACATTTTTTTTCCAAAGTAATTGTGTTAATTTGATTTTAGAGAGTTTAAGAAAAAAAAATTTTAAAAAAAACTCAGTGATTGAAATTTATTCAAAAGTAAGAGAAAGATTGTAGACCACATCATAATTTTTACTTCATATTTTATTAGGTAAATGAAGAAGTAAAAGTAATATTTTTAGATGAGCTAAGAAGAAAAATAAAATGATTAATTCGTGACAAAAGAAACTGCAGGATTAACCATGTGAATAAGCAACCAAAACTAGTAAATGAAAATAAATTTAAAGATGAAGCAAGGGTGATCTACCAAAAAAAGTGCGGGGTGATCTATTAAATAAATAAATAAATAAATAAAAGTAAGAGGTAAACGTCCATTCATATACTCCGGGGTACTTTATTAGTTAAAAAAGGGTGCATATAAAAATCTACTTAAAATTGTAATTTAAGAAACTCTTAAATCAAAATTTAATCATCTCTTCCAAAATATTTTTTTCATCGTATACAATACAAAGATATTACTCCCTCCGTCCCCCAGTTTTTGTCTACTTTTGACTTTTGAAACTGTTCATTTAAACACTTTGACTCATCAAATTCTCTCAATGTGTAAGCCTAAATATAGTCATGTGTGATCTTGTTTGATTTGTCTTAACATATAGATTATTAATATATAATTTCTATAATTTTTTAATATACAAATTACAAAATAAAATGAGTTAAAAAAGTGCATTAGACGATGTGCAAAAATGAAAATGGAGAAAAATTAGGGGGCGGAAGGAGTATAACGAAACCGATATTATTATGAGAAGGTAAATACTCCCTCCATCCCGGAGTATTCGTCCAGTTTTGACTTTTGGAACTGTTCATCTAAGCACTTTGACTCATCAAATTCTTTCAATGTGTAAGCCTAAATATAGTCATGTGTGATCTTGTTTGATTTGTCTTAACATATAGATTATTACTTCCTCCGTCCCAAAAAGTCTTTCCTGTTTCATTTTTTGCGCATCCCATAAAACACTTCTACCGACATCTAAAATGCCTAAAATTTACAACATTTCTTCTTTATTATGGGTAGAAGCTATTTTGAAAGTTTTTTTGGCATTCAAAGTGAGACAGAAGTGTTTTATGGGATGCGCAAAAAATAAAACAGGAAAGACTTTTTGGGACGGAGGGAGTAATATATACTCCCTCCGTCTCATAAAGTGCTACCCATTTTGACTAAAGTTGAAATTAAGGAAGGGATAATTTTGTGTTGACTTTCCAAAAATACCCTTGATGTGATGGGTAAAAGTAGAATGTGATGTGTAGATTATTAGGAAAAAGGTATGATGTGATAGGTAGGGTTTGAAAAAGTAAGGGATAAAAGTGGTTTTTTAATAGAAATGAGTAAAAGATTGTGGGACACAATTTTTTTGAAACGTGTAAATCTTTTTGGGACGGAGGGAGTAATTTCTATAATTTTTTAATATACAAATTACAAGATAAAATGGATTAAAGAAGTGTATTGGATGATGTGTAAAAATGAAAGTGGACAAATACTCTGAGACGGAAGTAATATTTTTCAATTTAAATTATTCGGTAAATAAAAAAAGGAACAAGGATTGCACGTGGGTGGGAAAGAAGCTTTTGGAGACACCCACGAGACCATCCCTGTGTTTTTCCATTTGTCTCGTTTGTTTTTATCCACATGCTCCGAATTATTTTTCCCATTTGAAATTATTTTTCCCATTTTGAAATAATGTTCTCCATTTCTAAATTTAGATTGGTTTTAATTTCAAATTGATATGGAGTATAAAAATAAAAAATATAATTATATATTTAATTTTTTTTTTATCAAAAAGTCTAGAAACAAGTGAAAATACATCAATTTTATTTTATCAAATGGAATGAAAACACAAACACGAAAAAAAATGAAAGCCTTAAATTGTAACGTCCATGTTCATGTAACATTGGTACCCAATGAAATAACATGACCCACGGCATTTGCGTTGCTTTGCTCGAAAAAATTATAGTTCTTACTCCTTAAGTCTCATCTCTTCCTGCACCCCCTACACCTCCTTCAGCCCTATGGCTCCCCCCTCCTCCTTCCCTCCCCTTCGTTGATTGGCTACAGTAATTATTGTAAAAATCGTGAAGGGAAGAGGGGGCCGGGGGCATGAGGCTGTGCATGAGATGTTGGTGGGTTAATGAGGATATGAACCATAATTAAGGGATAACGTGAGTAATTTTTAAGGGATATGTCACATGAATCGAGATGAAATAGTAAATATGACGATAATTAAGGGATAACGTGAGTAAGTTTTTTGTCCTTTGACACTCCATAGTATTTTTTGGCGCGATATTCCTTCGTCAAATACTTTGATAATAAGTGTGATAATTGCATGTATCGCACAGATAATTATCATCTATGCGTGTCTGTGCAAGACATGTGAGCGCCCATAGAGGCATTTATTTGGAGACACCCTAGCATAACTCAAAACAAATACTCTGTATCATCTCAAGAGCAAAGTAAAAAAACTATGTGTGTTCCCCTATCCTTCCATTGCATGTTTCAAATTATTTTTAGCATTCTCGCCTTAACTTAATATTGTACTCCGAGTATGTGTAATTTATACGGAGTATAATGCATGTTTGGCAATAACTTAAGAGTAATTTACTTAAATAGCACTAAAACATAATGACTTTTCCTAAATAACACTATATGTATTTTTCTTTTCAATGTAGTATTTTTAGTCATTATGCATTAGTCATTATTCAAGTGAATATTCGTTATCACTGGACATGATAGACATTATTACGTGCCAAACAATTTCTTGGAAGTCAAGACCACCACATGTACGTCTATAAAAATAGAGTGATCCTATGGTAGACCTAAGACTCACATGGATCTTTTACATACTTTTTTTATTTTAAAAAAATGCTTATTTCAATATTTAAAAATACTTATTTAATTTATATGAAGGTTCACCATAGATCTCAGATGCATGCAATAATTTTTCCTATTAGTAATTCCCCCAAGCTTGTGGGGAGGGGGATTCATTCTAATTAGTCACATTTTTTTCTTGGATGTCAAGACACCGCTTATACGTGTAATTGACCATCAAAGTTTATGAAGTTTGGATGTAAAAAATTAAATTGGACAAACTTGGAGAACAAGTACTCCATCCAACCTACAAATTCCACATTTTTTGTTCTTTAAAAAAAGTTCTGTTTTCTATTTTTTTTTTAAAAAAATTGTGACTTGTATTGTTTTTCTCTCATTTGCACTACTTAAGACTATACGGAGTATAATTTTATTTTTTAATTTCCAGATCAAGTCAAATGTGAAATCGGTACGGAGTTTTACTGTAGATTACATTTGTACGGAACATATATTACTCTCCCATCTGGATGTTAATCTTTCTATTTGACTTTTCACAATTTTCATTTCAAACTTTAGACTATTAATATCGATATTTATATGTTAATATATTTTACATATTTCAAAATAATATTTCAAAAGAAAACAATTGAATTACATTTTTTGCATATGGAAGTCAATGTTCATCACAAGCTTTAACCTAAAAAAATCAAATGAAAGGATCAAATCAAGACAAAGAGAACACATCAACAACAACGAACATACCAACAACAACAACAAAGTGAATGAATCTAAATAAAATACTACTTTTGTCTCAGTGTATTTGTTCAATTTGACTTTTTCGAGTCAAATTGTATGCATTGAGCTTCAATTTAAACAAAAATTGCAATGTATAATCATATAAAAATGATTTTATTATATTTATCTTGTTCAGAACTTTTAAATATTAATTTCATAATATTAAAGTGGAATAGAAATTAAAACTCAAAATTTGTTCAATTTGACTCAAAAAATCAAACTGAACAAATACAATGGAATACATATTTCAATATTAACTGACCCTGAAAATGCGAAGGTGGTTTTCTCTTCAACTTTTTTCCGCTCTTTTTTGCTTATTCTTATCAGATTCAGATTCATTCAAAGCAGAGTATCCATTCTGATCAAAAAATTATTTTAAAAAATAAACATTATTAAAATAGTACTAATAATTAAAATAATAATTTGAATTAATTTCATTCACATGATCACCAGGTTGAATCCATTTGGACGAGATTCTTAAAAAGTTTAGTTCAGATCACATCAGCGGAACCCAACCTAAACCTAATGCAAGTACTGCTCAACTGCAAATCAGTCCTAACGAAGATCTTCACTTGTGGGTGTCATAAAATGGAATAGAGGAAGAAGAAGAAGAAGACTACAACAGAGAACATACTCACTACATTAGACTAGTAATTACACAGGGTGGGTTTATCAGTGAGTGGATACAAGCCACAGCCCAGGGGACACCATGAATCAGCAAGACAAGAAACTCCATCAGGAAGAGGAAGAGGATGGATGAAGAAGAAGAAGAAGAAGTGAAATGGAAAAATGTGAACTTGATTATCAATTAATTAAACCTTCTAGGATCAGTAATATTGACCTTCAAATGCTCATCTTGTAACCCCATCCTCCTAGCCTCATTCCTATCCCACTCCAATTCAATCTTCCTCTGCTCCGACAATCCGCACTCTCTCTGCAGCCTCTCATCCATGGAGTCGTGGAGCCTCCACCACGTCCGGTGCGCCACGTCGCTCGCGTACACGCGCTGATCCCCGATGTCCCAATTGCAGTCGTAGTCCCGGTAACAGAGCCACGGCTTCAGCCCCAGATAGTGAATCGCGTATAGCTCCGGCGGATCCGACCCGAACAGCTGGTTCTTCAAACCGGACTCGACCGAGGAATTGGACCAGAAATTCTTCAGGAAATTCACCCGCCTCGGCAGCCTGTGCCACCAGACGAAGACCTCGTTGAGGAACCCCTGGTCGCCGCCGTTGTAGGAGACGATCTCCTCCCGGCGCTGCATCAGCATGCGGAACGCGCAGTCGGAAGGCTCAATCACCATCACGCCGGAGTTGAACAGAGATCCGTCGTTTCCCGCGGCGGACATCTGCGGGAAGCGGAAGAGGAAGTCGATGCTGCGGAGGACGAGGACGTCGGAGTCGACGAAGACGATCTTCTCGTAGCGGGTGAGCTGCCATAGCCGGAACTTGCTGTAGTTGTACTCGTTGTAGCTGCCCCTCTCGGATCTAGGGTTCCGGATCCGGCTGATGAATCGGAGCTTCCACCCGGATCTGGCGAGAGCGTCGCGTTTGGAAGGGGAGATCCGGTTGTCCAAGAGGAGGATAAGGTCGCGTTTGGTTCCGGTGCGGAGGAGGCTTTGGGCCAAAGTTATGGCGCCACAAACGTAAGCTTCCGTGGAATGGAGCACCGTGGCGTATGCTTCTCGTTTTGCCGTTAAAGATAACGGCTTTCCGTCTTGTTCCACATTCGAAATATTGTACGCTTCATCTACGCCTGCTTTGCAAAAGAATAATGCTAGGGCATATTTTGATTTTTTAGTCACATTTTTTATTATAAATTAAATTTGTATTATAATTCAAAATACTTTTCCCAAAATTTATAATTAAAGACTGTCACTGTTTAATTAAAAAATTAAAACATGAAAAGCTTTTAAGATTGGAGGGAATAACTTTTATTTAATTCGAGAGGAAGAAAAACTAGACAAATAGAGTTTTTAAATCTTTAAATTCAAACAAAAAATACCTTTATCCCAAAGAGGCATAGCCAAATTACAAGAACCAATGGGCAGCCCAAGTTTATGTTCTAGCCTGATGATATCCACCTCAAAGTACCACCAATCTCCCGCCCTTTTCTTCAGATCATCGCACCGGAAAATCTCCACCATCGGCCTGCACTCGCTGAGCACCGCCACCTTCACCCTCCGGCGGCGGTCCCGCCTCCCTCTCTTCTCCGCCAAGTTGGCGGCGATCAAGTGAAGTTGCAGCCTCCGCACGTCTCGGCCGGAGGATTTATTGCACGGCAGTTTCGCCACCACCAAGTCGAACACGCGGGGGTAGTCGGCAAACACCGGCATTGGGATCTCGGGGCAGTAAGTGGCGCCGTCCATCTCCTCCTCCTCGTCGATCCACTCCGGGAACAGATCTTTCCATTCCAAGAGCTCCGAGGCTTCCTCCCACTTGACGTGGACGATGGATTCCCCGCTGTCGGAAACCGCCTTACTATTCCATTCATAATCCATGTTCACCGCCCCTATCCTCCCTCTCTCCGGCATTAGTTCTTTCATGAAACTTGGCAGCAGGTTCTCCATTTTCTTCTCCGACGCATTCGGGGAAAAAGATGGAGGGCGGAGAGGGAGGAGGGCGTAAAGGAAGAAGAAAACCAAACTGATGATTACTAAGAGGAGTGATGGTTTATTGGTAGGAGAAGCAGCCTTCACCACATTCATCAACTTCTTACTCATCATCGATCATCATCATCATCATCATCAATATATAATAATAACAAGAAGCATGGTCTCTCTATAAATATAATTAACAATCACTCGTTAGGTTGGGCATGATGATATTATATCATATCATATATGCTGATATATACGAATTACCACCGGGCCGGAGTATATTGAAAGGTAAGGGATTTAGATGAAGCTGGTAGCTGTTGTTGGAGATGGAGAAAGCTAAGCTAGCTTAGTTGCAGGCCGGTGGACGAGAGGAAGGGGATAGGGTAACTAATTATGCTCTATTTGTCCCCCCTCCCCCCTCTGGTTTTTAAGATCGTTATTAAATTACTGTATCTTATTATTATGAAAAATTTGTACTAAATAGAACTAAAATATAAATCATTTCTTTATTATTATTATATCAGATCACGGGCTCGGATCCCGAATACTTGACCCGCCAAAAAACGGGCATGGGCTCGGTATATCTGACCAGGAGCTGGACCCAGACTTTATAAATGGCAGCTGTATACTTTATGGTCAAGCTCGAGTTTGTGCTAAAACTCACGGGTTCTGGCTTGCTCCAATAAATAATATTCTCTAGTGTCTTAAAAACCTTTCATGTTTTACATTTTTTGGTCAAATAGTAATATTCTTTGACCATAAATTGTTAAAAGAATATATATTTAATTATAATATAAATTCAATATAATTATATTCATCTGAGGATATATGTCTGTTATATCAATTTTTTATATCATTTATTTATTTAGATTATGTTTAATGTATGGTAAAAGAGTGTCACAGTTTGCCTAAAAAATCCAAAACAGAAGAAGTAATATTTTTTATTGGTATAATTATAATACAATAATAATAACATCATTAATTTTAATAATAATAGAAACAACAATATTATTTTAAATTATTATAAACACATATACTTCTATGGAGAAAAAAGACAATTATTGGTATATTTAATAAAATTAATACATACGGAGTATTTAATACTCTAGGGTACTTTGATACATCTTTAAAATTAATACATCTTTAATAAAATTGATTCCAAAGTCAAAATTAACTTGTGGAATGCAATTGAAGGGGTGAGGGTGTGTTCGGGTCAGGGCGGGGTGAAAGGGTTTACTGGAGGTTTTAGAGGGGGTAGGAACCATCAATTTTACGAACGGGGGTCATCCCATGGGGTTTCAATGTCATGGGAACCCCACCGATTGACATTTCAATGTTTTATAGCAAAATAGATAGAACTAATAGTGCCAAATAATCATATTTAGAAGATACAATGTCAAATTTAGAAGCATTTCAAAGTGCCAACAATCATATTTAGAAGATAAAAAATAGATACGGAGTATTATTTTGGTATAACGTACTGTATAAATTCTACGGAGTATGTTTTAGTGTTCTTTACGTAGATTTTTTGGTAAATAGCTAATTCTTATATTGTGTAATGTGACCAAAATTATATCTCCAACCCCATATACTTTAAACCCCTCAAACTCATTTCCTATAAATAACTCCAAGCACATTCTCACATATCGAATACATTCTGACAATTAGATTCTTCGGCAATTACACGACGAACCAAGGAAAGTTACAAGACTACACCGTCCACAGTAAGATAATAACTATAGCTTCAGCTTAAAGCAATCATGCATTCATCTTCGGAGGACCAAACTCTAATTTTATTCCTCAGTCCAATCGAAACGCTCAATACCAAAGAGCATACCTGGAGTGCCTCATTCTGAATTCCAAGACAATACTTGAATTTTAAGCAAATAGGCCTTAAATACTTCTGTTAGTTGTCCAAGATTGGCCAAAAAAGTGATTGCTAATTGGGACACCAAAACATCTTATGTTTATAGGCTGAGAGAATGATTGTTCATACATCTTACAGTTGAGAAGTCTCCATTTTTCTTATTATGCGCTTGCAATAACCCTACACGAAAAACAAAGAAAAAGTAAATAAAATCTCAGCGACGCAAAACTGACTTCATCGAACGGAGGGGGGATACTTGAGGCCCACCAAATCAACTCTTTCTTAACATTGTTAAAATATGGGCTCGTTTAGTAGCCAAAGTCCCAAAATCAGTTTAATCTGCATATGGTATTGAATAATTAGTTTTGACTTGGCATCAGTGTTGTTAAGTCGTCGCCTAGTCCACAACTAGTCGTCCGGTCATTTTGGAGAGCTCGACTTGACCTTCGACTAGCGCCTAGAACTGCTATGTTGCACGCAGACGGCTTGGAGACCTTGAAAATCCTGAAATGCATGCAAACGGCTCCATGACTGTGAGAACGATGAAAGATAAGACCTATCGCGTTTCACTCTGTCAAGCGGATCTCAAACCCTCTCTCTCTTTGTTATTTACGGCTGCCCAAATAGCTCATTATATTTGGGTTGGTTCAAACGTTAGTGGGCTTATCTACGCAAGACCTAATTTTCTAATAAGGCCTTTAAAAAACTCCCTCCTAAAAATAGGCATATACAACTACTCCCTCCGTCCCATAAAGTGTTACCCATTTTGACTAAAGTTAAAATTAAGGGAGGGATAATTTTGTGTTGACTTTCCAAAAATACCTTTGATATGATGGGTAAAAGTATGATGTGATGTGTAGATTATTAGAAAAAAGTATGATGTGATAGGTAGGGTTTGAAAAAGTAAGGGGTAAAAGTGGTTTTTTAATAGAAATGGGTAAGGGATTGTGGGACACAATTTTTTTGAAACGTGTAAATCTTTTTGGGACAGAGGGAGTACTTTTTTACTTTTTTTAACAATAAAGTTCACTTTTATTGAACCTAAAACAAAGTTTTTACTTTTATTGAGTGCAAACCTGTGTCATATAAAAAAATATTTTAATACTGTATATTATTTTTGTATTGGTTGATTGTTATCTTTGTTAGATTGTTGGGCTTGAAGAATTAAGGATATTTGTTGCTTATGTTGTCTTTGTTATGTAAGTTTATGTACTACCTTAAAACATAATGTTGATATGGTAATGATACTTCATCGTAAAAATATATATTCCCTTAATAGTTATCCTTGGTGAATGTAGAAATATATAATTTTAAAAATTTCATTACTTATTGTAATTTGTCGACTAGTCGCCGTCCACTAGTCTCTTCTCCACCGACTCGACTCGACTTGTCGCATTGATAACCATGCTTGGCATGACTTGTTTTCAAGTATTACATGTGTGTTAGAGGAACACAAGTAATTTCACTTAAAGAGGAAGTGTTATGCAACAAAAATGACAGATCATACCTAGTAGTTTTAAAAATACAAAAAAAGCTTGAAATGCTTATTTAAAACCTTGCGAAAAAGCATTTTCAAGTGCTCAAATGAAAAAAAATGCATGATACTATCACATAGACCATAAGTTATACCAAACTCTTTCCGATTAGGAAAAAGTCATTTCGGGCATGTAACCATTACCAAACGAGATCTATATCTTTGGCATGTACGGACTACTCCAAAACATTGGTGAGCTCAAGATAAGAGGATTTATGCAACCCTAAAAACAAACATGAGCTTGGCACAAAAATTGAAAAAATTGAAAAAAGAAAGAATGATTCAGTTTAACGCTGACCTTGATAATACAATATAACCCGCTCGTTCCGCTACCTCATTAGCCAAAGGCACTATGATTTCGCTATGTCTTGAATGTGCTGTGAATGACTTTTACCGGGTGGAACGAAGATTAGATCCTCCCAACCTGAGTTCTTTTCACTTTTCTGTCATCAAAGGGTAAGGAAAAAAGGATTAGTTAACTGATAATATGTGGAGGAACAAAGTTATGATGCCTCTAGTTTACACATGGCAGTTGGAAGGGCATTGACAACTTTAGTGCATTACTACATCAAGGAAAAAATCAGGGCATCCTCGTCAATTACCTGCATTTTTATCAACACATCTTCCAGACTCCCCACCTGAAATTTTGATGGGGGAAAAATAGAAAAAAAATTATAATAAATCCATGCACCTAATGTTCTTAAGGAGTACTCCGTACATGTTATATTCACACCTATTCCATAAATAAGAATATGAAATTGTAACCAATAGTGAAAGGGATTTTGTTACCATTATGTGTTGAGATGCACCATATCCTCCCCTTGATGCACGTGACACAGTCAACAATTCTTTCTCTATATCTTCCTGCACAAATAAATAGTGACTAAAAATGGTACACGGTATACCATTAGTGGCAATTGGCATACAAATCCTACGATCATGGAACAGGTGCACAATGCTAAACAGGCATACCTTCCTGAAGAATATGGGCAAGTAACGCCTGTTTCTCTTCTTGACAACAAGGAGGTCTGACTATAGGCAAAAGGAAGCTATATGATTAATCTTTTGGTTTTAGGATGAGGAGGAATAAAGTACAATGAATAGGAATAAAGTACAATGAATCAAATATAGTGCTTCATTTTAATGGTATTGATTTGGCCTTTTCCCCTACTACATTTGAAAAACACCAACAGGAAAATATCCAAAGTCCATAGATATGTGGTCAACTGTCTGGAATGTTTACCAATGCATTTACTACAGTAGTTTGATTAGATAATATACCGCATTGTTTTGCAGAGAAAAGAAAGCATCAAGTTAACAAGTTAATCAACAAACCTGAAAAACAGGGACTCCATCAAATCCGCTTGTAGAACTTTTAGGTTTTAGCTAGTTCACATTAAAAAGAGAAAGAGACAGGCTGGTTACAGTTCATTTAAAGAATACATGAAAAACTAATACAAGTACATGTCAACAGAGCTTTTAAAACAGACCCATAGATGACTAACTTTCTCTGTATGGAAGCAAGAGAAACGAAACATTGATCACAATGTACAATGGGATCACTGCCAGAATCAAGAGTGTAGGCTTAGAGAGGTCGGCTAGAGAAACAAACATGCCTTTGGAAATAATGCCTTTCAAATAACCCTTATGTTTAATGATGCCAGATAGTCAAGGATTTTGATTGGTACTCCCTCCGTTCCACTATTTTTTGGACATGAGGGAGTTAGTAGCAAGAAATTCGTAGTAGGACTGCGTGATTGATATTGATGTTAAAAGATAAGCTAAAGTAAAAATGAATATGAACCACACAAATGTGACCAAATATGGTATGGGAAACCCCTGATGTTACAGTAGGTCAATAGCATTTCAAATTTTCAATATGGGAAATTTACCTATACAATACTAAAACATATTGAGTTTTCTAATGTAGTACCACTGTTTAATGTCAATAGGACATTGTTCAAGTAAATGTCCACCGCCACTGGACATTACTCAAAGTAAATCTCCACCCCCACCGGATATGGTTTCCGCCACTGGATATTGTTCAAGTATGGATATTGTTCAAGTATTACTTAGGGAATAAAAGGTTTCAGGTACTACATTAGGAAATACATTTGTTTTAGTACTATTTAGTGCAAATTTCACTTTCAATATCAAGATTGGCACTTCTACTAGCCAATCTAATTGAACGTATCCACTGTTATGTGCTGAGAGGAGAGCAGAGAACAACAAGCCAACCTCTAAAGCATTCTTTATTTGAACTGGATCAGGCACAAACCGAAATGTAATTCCTTCAACATTCAACATATAAACCTACAAAAGCCTCAATGATGGTTAAAGAAACACTCCAAAGATCATGAAACAACTTTTAAAACCTTTGTAAAGAATCTGTATTTACAATTTACAAGCTCCATAAATTACACTTATATGACTCAATATCAAATAGTCATCCAAATTCAACACCAATTCTGAGACTACACATTGGAAAGTTCTCTCGGCGTTTTACTCGTTTTATGATCTTGAGAACAACAAAAAAACAAATACAACTATTATTGCAATAATCATAAACCAAGAAACTTTAAAAGATGTTTTAAAATACGCAGGTTCAGAAAGCGGAACCTGATCGAGAGTAATAGGAACGACCTTAACCCCGCCTTTGACTTGCCCCCTGCGGGAACGCACCTGAACAAATCACACGAGGGTGAATTTAGAAAAAAAACAAATGAAGACTGGAGAGCCGATCCGAGATGAAACAACCTCAGAGAGAAATGACTCGGCATCTTCTTTGCGAAAACAAAGCAAACCAATAGATTTCGCGCTATTTTGATCGGAGATGAGCACGAACTCATTGTTTGAGTTGCTGACGGTGAATACTGAAGTTCCGAGCAGAGCTTTGGAAAGGCGGTCGGAGCTCAATCCAGAGCCTTCTCCAGTCTTCTGCGACACCGAAGCAAATGGGAGAGACGACAAGGGAGATGAAAGCGTTGGATGCAAACGATTTCCAACCACCGTCAGCGGCGGTGGTGGTAGAAGGCTGAAGTTTGCGGCTAATTTAGAGCCAAAACGCTTGGCTTCATCCAATCGGCCGGAGAGCTCGGCTCCGAAGCGGGCGGAGTGCCGGTGGAAGAAGGCGGAGAGCGAAAGGAGAGGGGTGGAAAAGGGGCCCACAGATGATTTGGAAGGCTCCATTGCGCCGAAATGAGAAGATGGGTGAGGAAAATAACTGTGCGCTCCGCAGTACTTTGGGCCTTTAATGGGCTATTCTAATTTGGGGATATCCAATTTTAAATATTTACAAAATTTAGTTGAAGTTATTTTCAATTTTAATTTTATTTGGCAAAATGTACTTCGTATGTATTAAAAACTAAAATTTAAATATTCAAAAAATTGCATAAAAAATTCTACAAAATAAGAATCGCTAAAATTCAACAACTCGAGAATTTTGCATTTATTTAGAAATCGTTTTTGCTCAAAAACGACATCGTTTTGACATTTTAAAAATGTCCCGTCCCCCCGTGACAGACTTCCCCATTGTAACAATATTACCATCCCATAAGTACCTAGTACAAATATATATATGACCTTTAGAATGAAATGGCTGGCTTCCTAGGACTAAAAAAAACGGCAGCCATGCCTAAACATACAAAATTATTACAGAAGAACAATTGGGTAACTGGCTGGAAACATTCCATACAATTAATCACTATATACCATATTTTTGTCCTTTCAGACCTCCCTCCAAAATAAGTCTATTTTGACTGACCCCAAAATATACAATACCTCCTGCAGCAAATAAACTTGAACTTGAACCAATGGCAACTTGAAGAAGTGAGAAACAAAATTTCCTGTTCCCCCAACCAAATGGTCTTTGTAATGTCAGGCGAACACGACCCTTTGTTTCATCCATAGCTAATTATAATAAACGGCTGCCTGCGTGGCAAATTTGATCATAAAATAAACACTCGGTGATTTATTAAGGAAACAGCATTCGCCAAGAATGTTATTTCCCTACTAAGATGAAAAAACGACATTAAAAATAGGTTGCGTAAAAATTGAAGCCATTAGAAGAACCTGGATGTCTCCACGAGGTGTGGTGCCATCCTCGTTCTCCAAGAATGTTTAGTTCACTTCCTCGAGCTAGCTTCATCGGATACTAGGAGGAGGAAGCTTCCAGAAATTCCATGAATTGTAATCCTCCTGAAAGTGAAGGAGACGTGTTCAGAACTCGGCTGATCTCCACCCTTATTCCAGCTCAAATTATGTACTCATAAAAACCAACAAAAAAAACTAAGGATATGTGTACGTCTGGATAACGGGAAAAAATTGAAAATGGAAAAATAATGCTCGGGGAAGTTAATTTCTTATGATTCGATTTACTTTGGAAAATGCAAAGAAAATGAAATATGATTTTTTTACATATCATTTTTCTCTGATTTTTCCGGAAGTCTCTTGGAAACAACCTCTGTGTACTTCGGAGTGAAGGTAAGGTATGCGTCCACACACCCTCCCCAGACCCTACTTTTTGTAGAACTTTACTGGGTCTGTTTTTGTATTTTTCTCTTATCTTTTTCTTCTATTCATTTTCCTGAAACGGGCGCTAAAAAAAAGCAAACCTGCTCCGAAGAGGAAACAACAGGAAACATGCCGTTGACAAGAGTATGAAGGGAAGTATATGATTTTGTGTTGGTGATATGTCTATTCACAACAATTTCACCCTGCATGATTGTGCAAACCAACATTATCACCTCTATTGTCCAATGGCTTTTCAGCAGAAGAAGACACACACTGAGTGAGGGAGTGAGTCAGTGAGGTTTCACTAATTCACTCGTTGATTACCTTTGGGTTTATAATGAAAATCTTTCCCTTTGGGATTCCGACCTTCAGGTAGCTAACCTCATCAGTGTCTCGGTTCCCAAAACCAGCGTAAAACGGGTTCGTGTCCGAAGGAAACAATGCTTTTATATCCTACAACAAATTCATATTTATAAGAAAAGTTACAGAAACATGGAATGAAATCAAATGAAAGAATTAGATTCATCAACCAACCTCCAAACATGCAATCTTAAATTCATGTGGAGCTCTTCGTACCACTGAAAAAAGAAAAACAGTGCGCAGATGTTAGTAGTTCGGCAGTTTTACTACACCACTCACGGGTGCGCAGGGTGGGGTTCTTTCTACACCACTCACGGGTGTCATAATATAATACCCGGTCCATTTTAAAGGAATGAAAGCCCTATTGTGATCTGTTTGACCTCAAAGTGGTTTCTACTCCCACTAACCCAGTAACCCCTCCTACTTGCTCCCCTCCCCCCGAGTTTGCCATTACAATAGCAAAACTGCGAACCTGGGGGGAGGTTCGCCTTTACTGTACCATAACAGCTAACCCAGGTGGATCTGGGGGTAGAAACTACTTCGTGGTCGAACAGAACACCATAGGGTCGTCAAATGGGTTGGTTTCATATTATGACACTAGCCCTTGGTGTCAAAAAAATGCTGCTCTAATAATAATAATAGGCTGCAGGTCTTAGAGTCCAGCGACCTTCTCGAAATAAAGAAGGAAAAAGCCCATCAGGGGATATAATAACAGGCCCTTCTGGCAGTCCCTTCCCATCCTGCAACAGAAGAAGACAGCTTAGCATTTTAGTAAATTATGTTTGTTGATTAATAAAATAGTTCTGTTACAAAATTAAGTTCACCAAATCGACCTGCATCAAATTAATTAGGAATTGTCTGGTTACATAGGCTTGAGAAATTGAACGAGCACTTAAGAAAAGCAGTTGGAATCCATTCTCCTGCACCAAGATCAGAGATTATATACACACTTCTTCTGCACTTACTGGTTGGCAATCTTGGCATTCAGAAAATGCTAAAAAAAGAATAGACTAAAACTCAAAAATTCTAGATATTTGCAAAATTTTGTTATATTTATTTGTTTCTATATAAAGACAGAAACTCTAAATATATGTAGCACTCTAAATAATTGTGATCATATTTTATTTTCCTTCATAATTTTCTTTTCCTTAGCCTTTTTCCTGGTTCCAAAGATAGCCTAAGAAAATTTATTATAACAGACACAAAGAGAGTGTGCTATTATGAGATATAAAAAAAAGTCTAGAATCGGGTTTAAATTTTAAAATGTCAATATATATTTTCCAGCTATGAGATGCTTGACAAATTTCTGCTACAAAAGAACGAAGTTGGCAGCACCATTACAAAACATACCATATCTTCAGAACATGTCATAAATTTAAAAAAAAAAACAAAAAAATGGTCCAACAGACCTTAATGGCTGAAAAGAGATGTGCAACGCCTGTCTGCGACCAATCTACCCCAACCAATGGCATAAACTGTCCTAGAACATCAGATCTGCACTTGTGGCCAAGGCAATGAAAATAAGTTCAATGAGAAAAAAATTAAACCTCCATAGGGCTATGAATGAAAATACGGAGAAAAAGAAGCTAAAGATGAAAACTTTCCACCTGGTAATTGTGCCATCAACATCAGATATCACAATACGTGAGTCCCATTTCCACAAATAAATTTGTGCATCAACCTGCAAAGTATGCCTTCGAAAGTCAAAAGGCACAGAAAGCATAAACATACAGAAGGAGCCATGACCGGTTTCAAAGAATAAAGAAAGGTGTCAATCGTTAACATGAAAAGTAAATAAATGCCATAAAAGGACCTGTTGTTTCCCAAGCATAGGAGTTGAGAATGTGAATATCACTATGTTTTTCCCAGCTTTCAGATTCAAAGATGCTAGTTGCTCAGATGTTGGTGTGAGTGCCCTTATTTTCTTCTTAGTAATTCTCACTTTAGGCACATCTTCTTCAGTGCACTCACTGGAATCCCTTGGAGGACTTTTGGCATCAGTGTTTATATTTTCATTCAAAGAATCCCGGATCACAAGAGTGCTATTTGATCTCTTGAAAGGAAAAGACCATGTTCTATGGCTTTCACCATTGGCAGCGGTTGGTGGAGACTTCTCCTCTGCAAAAGCTCAATGTTAGGTTTGGATGATAAGAGATACAGAAGAGAGAGACAAAAGAAAAAGCATGAGAAGAAATAATGATTTTAAGGGGGGGAAAGTACTTCATAGATTTTATGTTTTGTTTCTTATGGCAGAAATGTGTCAGGAAGAGAAGTGAAATAAATCGCTAAAAGATGAAAACAAACCATTAGTCATGGAGCATGTTTAGGTTCAACATGGGGTCCAAAAGAGATAAAAAGAGAAGAAAAATGATGTTCCATTTCTTTTTATCCAACAGGAGAAAGAAAATATCTTTCCAGTTTAATTTTTCTCTCTATATATTTCTCTCATATGCAAAACAAATCGCCCTTTTCCCCAACTTCTTTCTCCTGGTTCTACTCTAACTAACATGCCATATGTGTGTCAAACTGTTAAAAACTGCAAATTATGATATTTTAGTTTCTTTTAAAACAAATCCATATACTTATTGTGAACAATTAAAGTCATGAGCTTTAGAAAGAACGATTAACTATAGGAACAGAACCACATTACCAGTTTCTGGCTCAACAGGCCTAACATCCACCTCCTGTATGGCCTTAGCAATTTCAACCTCCTGTGATACCTCAGGTGACTTCTGATGATTCTGTCCGCTACACAAATTAGTATCATGAGACCACTTGGTTGGTAAAGATGTCGCCATCCTTATTAAATTATCAGATTGAGCTTTAGAACTGGAAGAAATGCTAATATCACTTCTAACAGATGCTAACTTGACTCTATCAGCTACAAAAGATTCAATCACATCTTTCTCTTCAGAATCTGAATTGTCAAGAACGTTGTCTTTTATGTTATTGGGACTTAAATCATCAAGGTCGCCAAAGATGAGCTGCTCCAGCTCCAAGATTTCTGGTGTCACTGTATTACTCTGTTGTTCTACCTCCTCAGAAGAACCATCTAATGGATGGAGATAGACCCGTTGAGAATATTTTTCATTGAGTGGTGAAACTTGACCATCCACGGTTCTGCTTGAAATAGTCATTGCAGTTTTGGGACTCTCTTCGCTTTTGGAGTTTCCAGAATAGTTTGAATTAATAGCAGAGTTTTTATCTGTCTTATTGTTATATTCTTGAAATAAGTATATATTTGTATGATCGAGTGATCGAATTTCCTCTTGTGCGGCATGAGGATCCAAACTATTTGTGTTATCATTCACTTTATCATCAATCGGCAAGTTCTGTTTGTTATCACTGTCGTTTGATGGATCTTGACCAGAATTGTTTAAGACTTGACACCTGGGAGAGCGAATGTTAGTGGACCAATTTACCTCCAAAAGATCAGCTGCAATTTGGGCACGTTCCAAAGAGTCTGGCCTAATGACATTGGCATCCCTTTCTTTGATAGATTTCTTGCCAAACACATACCCTAAAATCCCTGATCGTCCTGTTGTTGAGGAAGGCTCGACACCAATGAAATCACAACTTTTTGACTTCATTGGTTTCCTACACTGGGTTTGGGTATCAGTATCCTCGCCAGAAGAAGGAGGAGGAGAATACGGATTATCCCCTTCTTCCACGTCCACCTCGCTCAGAAAGCAAGCTTGGCCATCATTCCCCAAATACATACTGAAATCCATTACCACACCGTTGACGACTAAATGAACCACTTTCTCCTTCGTCTTCATAACCCCCTGAAACTTTCCGAATCGAACATACCAAGGAGAGGACTTGAAGGTCCCATCTGGCTGCTCCACCACAATAATGTCCACTGCACCACCAAACGGGTGGAAAGGCGTGGAAACAGAATATACACCTCTAGATATATAGCTGCCTATTCTTCCTACAGCATTCATCTTCCTCCTCCTCGGATCTTCCGAGCAATACAATCTCAATTTTTCATCGAATTATACACAACCCCAGATACATCAAGTTCGAATCTTTAGCTCAATTGATTCAATCGTTCTCACTACTTTACACCCGAGGAATGCAAAACCCCAGCACTTCGTCCCACAAGATATAATCATTACAATTGTTACGGAGTATTGTGAAGAAGAAAAAGGTAAAAAGAAAGAAAGAAAGAAAGAATTAGATCGAATTCCAGACAATAATGAATCGAATTTAAGAAATACCCAAATGATCGAACCCGGAGGGGAATGGGGAAATCCTTGTCAAACTCCTTCGAGCATCTGAGAAAGAAAGGGGGCGACTTCCGTAATAAAGAACCGGAAGAAATGAGAATTGCAGGGAACTATTAACCGCCCGGGAAATTAAACAAGCAGTGAGCGACCAGGCAGGCATATTCCTTTTCCAGTATTGGAATGTGCCTATCGCTCGTCAGCAGATTGATTGATTCTGAGACGCTAAACCCATTTTCTCTTACGGAATTTTTAGTTTTTTAGGGAGTATGGAAAATGAAAAGAATTTACAGAGAAGGCAGGGGTAATATGAAAAAGAAATTTCAGAGTACATAAATCAAAATTATGTAGTTTAAATTTTCTTGTAATACAACATCTACGTCAATAATAAAAAATATTACAGTACTTTGTGTAATTGTATAATTACTAAATTACTCCGTATGATATTTAGGTAGTAAAATATGTGGTAAACTTGAGAAAGATAAAAAATAAAATTTGTGCTTTTTTAAATGAATAATTACAAAAAGTAATATAAGTACTTAATCAGAATAACCTCGTCTGGGTAGTACTCAGTATTCATTTTTATTTCTCACTCACTCTTGTTATCGTCTGTCAGACACTATGTAAATTAAGCTATGATATATTTGTATATTATATTTTTTATTTTTAAACATTTCATTTTAACTATTATTCTTTGAAATAAAGTTTATTACAAAATATTACAGGGTCATTTCCATGGATGGACAATACTCCTAAACCCTGTTCTGGCGTTCTTGAATGGAAGTGTCTGAGTCAAAATATCTCAGTCACTAATAATATTGTCAAATTTTAATCACTTTCTTTACATATTTTCATTAGTTAGTTGATAAAATAATATAGTCATGTCACCTCTTATTTTGTAGAATCTTTGAGTAGTTTTAAAATATATAAATTTTATTTTTTAATTTTATATAATATTTAGGAGTGAACATATTATCGAAACCGACAGTCTAACCAATGCTTAAAAACCGAACCGCCCAAAATTTTCGGTTTCGTTTAGTAAGGCCCAAGAAATTCGGTCAGTTTGGTTAAACGGTTTGGTTTTCGGGTTGAATCTTGAATTAGTAAAACCGATCGAAAAACCGAACAAATCACCCAAGAATCCAAAAGTGAAATACCCATTTGATTCAATCCATCCAAAGACCCATGTATCTTTACCTTCTTCATTTGGAGAGGTATGTCAATTTTTCCCACCTTTTAAATTTATTTCATCAATTACTTTAGTTATTGTATTTTTGCTTGAATGTATTATTATAAATTATTAATTTGTATCTTTATCATTGTAAAACTTAACGAGTCAAGAATTAACAAAAAAAGATACTTTGTTTTTTAATCTGGCACTCTATATTTTTAAGTTTTTTCTATCCGGGTATTTATAATTTTACATGTGTATTTAACTATTTCAAAACTGACATTCTAATTTTTTTTCCCAATAAATTAGTTGTATTTTTATAAAATCTTTAAATTTAAAACTTTAATTAAGAAGAAACAAAGACAACAAACCTCAAATTTACCTCCCCAAGATTTTTTTAAGAATGTATATTTTCTTCTCTAATAATTAAAATTTTATTTAAGAAGATAAATCAACTAATTTTTTTCCCAATAATGTATGGATATGGATTTTTTTCCTCTTTTACCTTTTGAGTTTTGATTTACCTTTCTCTATTGAGTTGCACACTTTTTGAAAGTAAGACATACAGAGTAATTTCGTTTTGGGTGAGAGAGAAGGTAAATCAAAAGTTAAAAGGTAAAAAAGAGTAAGAGTACGGAGTAATTTCGTTTTGCGTCAACCCAACTCTCGGTAAACCCTATTTCATTCTTCATCTTCCGATTCCTCTGTCATCGCGGTCATCTACTCGTCGCCGTCATCTCCTCTCTCATCGCCGGCAGCCACCAATGTCACGAACGGGACGGAGGCAGTAGAGGACGTCGTCAGTAGTCGCGAACTCGAGAAGGCCATTTCTCTACTCGCGAAGGCGAAAAGGTAATCTTTTAATGAATTTTGGGATTATTTGAATGAATTTCTCCATTAAAAGAACATCAAGGAATTACAACCTTGAATCTTGAGAAGAAAATGGAGTCCACTGTAAATGGAATAATTACAACCTTAAATATCAAGAATTTATCCAATTATTGTCAACACTCAACTGTAAATTGAGTTTCGATCAGAGAAGAAAAATTGGCCAGAAGATGATACAATTTTTTTAAAATATGTGTTTTTAGCCATCTCTTTGGCCAGAAAATTTATCTCTGTTTTTAGCCATCTTTTGGTCTGAAAAGTAAATTTATTATTGATTACCTCAAAATGGTTTATTTGATTTTGTAAGTAGAAATATTCTGAACGCTGTGAACAGAATGTTGTACCATTTCTTTAGCTTTAATTACAAGCATTTTCCCAGATTTTTTTTGGCAGAATCAACCCCCAAACCCAATTCTCAAATTATTTTCTTGTAATGGTGACATACAATTCGGTTATAAATAACTGACCGTAACCGTTCGGATTAATCAGTTTTGGTTTTGTCGGTTATGCAAATATAACGGTTCGGTTTCGGTCTGTTTTTATAAACCCAAAAAAAATCGGTTAGTTTGGTTTGGGCCAAAACCGACCGAACCGACCCGATGCTCACTCCTAATAATATTCAAATAAATTGAATTAAAAATAATTTCAGTCAAACTTCGTATACCAAACTAGGAAGATCATTGTAGGACAGAGGGAATACCATTTTTTGGAAAGTTTGGTTAGATCCGACAGACACGTCTCTCGCGTCTCTATGGTGAGCTTTACATGATAATATGATATGACTTAACAAATATAGAAGAATAACGACGGCATGTGGCTGGTGGCAACATGTTGGCGATGACGCGAGTGGCCTGTCTTGCTAGTCGCCGGCAGCGGGAGGGGATGGTCGGCAATAGTGGGCTTGGGAAGTGGTGGCTAACTTGGCGGGTTGCCAGGCAGCCAATAGAAAATGGAGATATCTCCTATCATAGCACCTAAATTTGGCAGAGTTGTAATATGAGTATATATAAACTTTAAATTTTGAGTTTTTGACATATATTTAGATTTTACTAACCAACAAGGAAAATGTTCTAATATGAGAATACACAAATACAATTTTGAAAATGGAACCGAACAAAGTAATTATGTATTGTATTTACAAAGTACAATTGAATAACTATGTTAAAAGTACTTATATATACTACTCCTTATATAATTTAATTTAACTTAAAAAATTTGGAAACATATATGATATCCGATGTTCGACGAATGCAGATACGATTTTGATTTTTAGCCTCGTCTCAATTCGTATTTGATATCCGATAAAAATATAAGGATACAAATTTATTAAAGGTTCTTCTAATCCGATTAAGATCCTTTTTACTCCTTGGCCCTTGCCAGTTGCCATAGTACTCTCTACTCTGCTTGGGCCTTTTTTTATGGAACTATTATTATTTTAACTCAACTTGAAGTTATGAATTAAATTGAATCTAAAAGTTTGGGCAGCCCTAAACACGAATTCAATCTAGAATAACAAACCTAACACTCTACATTTGTAGTTCTGGACTTCTGGACCCAAGTCCAAATTTAATTTTGGATTCTACAGTTATCTTCATCATCCCTGTCCGGCATCGCCTTCTACAATCTCAGCAACAACTTCTGGCCTCTTCTACAAACCTACGATTCGGCGTTCTTCCATAGACGTACATCCAGAAGTCGAAGGTATTTTTGTCTCTACTTTCTGCTCAAACCTCCAACCCTGATTATGTTATCCAGATATGAAACTCAATCGTTAGATCTTCTCTCCATTAACGAGTATTTAGATGTTCGAATCTCCTATGAGTTTAAAAGATGTTTATGAAACACATCTATGATCTATGCATACTTTACTTTCACTTTTTTTGACTAAGCAGTTGCTCTGTTATATTATTTTGATTTTGTGACTTTTATGTGATTTTATTCATATGTGAAGCGGCATTATAAAGTAGAAACTAGAAGGATCAAGACGTTTCAAAGGGAAGGGAGAAATCGGAGCGATGGGAAGTAACCAACTGGTGGCACAAATCCCGACTAGCTTCGGCCATGAACTCAGGGCTTGCCTCCGCTGCCGTCTTGTCAAAACATATGATCAGGTTTCTATTTTGTTTTACATTAGATTTATTTGTAACCCTACACATTCCTCTGTGTAATTCATGCTGTGTAAGACAATTGAAGCAAGGTAGTGATTAGGGTAGTAGAATCTTTTTTTCTTTATTATTTTCGGTGTGTTGGCTCACTTTTGTTTATAATATTACTACCATGAAATTTGTGATTATTGGTGACATTGCAGTTCAGAGAGTCTGGATGCGAGAACTGTCAATTCTTTAAGATGGATGAAGATCATGAGCGTGTTGTTGAATGCACAACACCTAATTTCAATGGGTATCAAATCTTAGAGATCTTATGGGAATTATTTGTCGACTTCTTGTCTTTGTTTGGAATCAGTTGTCCAGTTTTCTTATTCAATAAGAAAAGTCGCGATGAGTTGTTTAAAATATTCAAGGGATTTGACACTCTAAATTCATTGCTTAAAAATGAGATTATTGGGAAAGTGGACAACTAAATCCGGACGGAAGAGTATATCATTTTAAAATTTAGCCATTGGCTTAAGTGCTCATGGTGTCTTACTCCTCTTGCAGCATAATCTCAGTCATGGATCCCAGTAGAAGCTGGGCTGCTCGCTGGCTTCGGATAGGTATGCACTACTTTTTTTTCCTCTTCCAAGTTTCAAAATATTTTGGAATTTCAAGTATTCCTTCCGTCCCAAAACTAATTCATAAACACTATTTACGGACAACTGGGCTAAAGACTAATAGGCTGCTAAGAATGAACTTCTAGACGGACATCTTAACAAATGAGGTGGGCTAAAACAAGCTCCGACACCATGATGGTGGACTTTAGGTTGTAGTTTTTGTGGTTGAGTTTGTCGTTTTTATCCCTTAGTTTGTAGTTTCTGCATGTGTGCTTTGAGTTTGTCGTTCTGTTCCTGGGTTTCGAGTTGGGTCTCTTGAAAACAGTCTCTCTACTTTCCAAGCAGGAGTGAAGCCTAATACACACCCCAGGGCCTAGACCCTTTGTTGCGGGATTTTATTGTTGTTGTATACATAGATGTAAGTTGTAGTTTGATTTACAATTGTGTGAGTTTGAATGTAGAATCTGTTTTTGTGCTATTATGTTTGTTTGTTTCTTGTTGTTTTGTTTTTGAATCCAAATATGAAAAGCAAGTTTCTCAAGTTATCAGAGTTGGAGACTTGGGCGGTGGGCCAATACTAAGAACATTTTCAACTAGGGAACCATAATAGTGTGGATTGTGGAAAATGATATATATGTGCAAACCATCTGAAGTACACAAGACCAAGTTTCAAACATTGACTCCTACTAGGAAGTGTCTCAGTTTTCAATCAAGGAACTGCAACCCTTAGCCCTTACCCAATATATCATGTACAGAGTATGACCAAACTCTTTCATATATGTTTGCTGGAGGGGAACTAGTTCAAATATAAAAGACTGGTTCCTTTATGGTGTTTTAAGTCCATAAAACAGGTTGTTAGATATTCCTTTTGAACAATCATTGCATTGATTTATAAGGGTCCTCCAATAAATGACATTTTGTTTAATTATTTAGATGTTGTCGACTCAAACCTAACCAGCTGGGTTCGTGGTATTAAATTTGGTGTGCTAATAAGTTGTACGAGTATATAATTACTCAGAACTATACATTAATGCAAAAAAACATAGTAACAATGTTTTACATAGGATGTCATTGTTGTTGCAACCTTCTTTAGTTAGGGATATTAAGATGAAAATTCTAAATTCACAGTAGATTGTGTTCACATACGTACATGGAAAATAGCATGAATGGGTGATGAATTGAGATATTTGTCATGCCCATAAGTCCATTACATAATCATAATTCAGATGCACAATTGCAAAGTACTGCTTTTTTTTGTGTATTATGCTTGTACAAGATCAGTAGCATTTTGAATTTATTTTGTTTTTTCCTCTTCTATTATCAATCTGAAAGTATAATGATTATCAATTGAGACTTCAATTGAGCTACAGAATGTTTGGAAACAATTAGTGAGAAAGAAATAAATTGAATTCATTATGAAATGAATTGATTCCTATGTGAAATTTTTATGTTTTGAATTCATCACTAAATAATAGTATGTGAAATTCTTATGTTCATAACTGTTTGCAATCTGCAGGTCGTTTTGTCGCTGGTGTGTACACACTTGCAGTTTCAGAGGCGCTTCCAGAAGATTTGCAGGTATGTTTCAAAATGATTTTTTACTGCTTGTCCATAGTATTTCTCCAATTTAACTTGTTTGAGTAAAAAATGGATGAACTTTAATCATCAATCAAATAAAAATTACATTACATATTAGTATAAAATTAGTTTTCTATTCAACCAATTCCAACAAACCCAATATATTCCCACCTTGGGGGCATGATGTTTTTTTTTCATTTGAATAATGTGGGGATGATGTTACGTTACCTGTGCTCTACTCCTTGGCTCCTTGCCGAGGAGTAAAGAGATTCTTTCTCAGAGAAGCCCCGACAACCCATGACCCGTAGTGTCATTAGAGATTGGAGAAAACACCACACTTACCAAAAAAACATATACAGCGCTCAGCTCCCATGGGCTCTATATGCCGTCCCCATTGGCTCATATCTGAGTTGAGAGAAGTTTAATACTCCGTATCTAACACCACATCCTGCTTAGCCTACCTTACCTCCTAGTCATCATCAATAAAAAAAATAATCTCAAATCTCCTCATGATACGTAAAAGTTTTTGTTTGCTGGTGCAGAATCTGTGTCAAGACGAGCGTGTGCCCTATGTTCCTCCAAAGCGCATTTGAGATCATCCATAGCCCCACCCATCAAAAGGATCAGAAATTAAGAATGTTGTCTTCTAGTGCTTACTATCATTTCATGTAGAGTTCAATCGATGTATGAATTGAAACTGCACACTGTGTGACAAACATTACATTGAATGCACTATCTATCATGTGGCACGGCTGATGGTTTAAATGAATGTGTTTTTCTATGGTATCCCACCATTGTCCCAAATTTTGCAACATGCTTCCTCTTCACACATATACTACAAAGGACTGTGGAGATGTGTCTGTGATAGTGTTGGGTCACTCATTGGGGCAAGCCAATGTTTATTCTACTTTTCATGGTGTGAAGAGTAGGGGTGTTCATCGGTCTAAAACCGGACCGGACCGGACCGAAGACCGATTTACACTAAAACTCAGACCGAAGACCGGATCTAAATGTATTCGGTCTTGGACCGAAATATTACGGACCGAACCTATTCAGACCGAAAGGACCGACAGAACCCAAGCTTCTGAAAAGGCTCCGTAGAGTTTAGGTTTCAATTTCAGATGTAATATCTTGCTTTTCACAATCTAGAGTCCAATTTTGATTTGTATACAAATTTTTACAATTTAAAAAATTGAGATATGGATAAAAAAAATTGAGGGATGGATAAGTTTTAAATAAAAGTGAAATTAATTTGGAAGATTATCAAAAAGGGATTACCGAATGACTAATTGACTATAATCCACCCAATAGTTTGCCGCTGCTCTATTATTTTCTGGCATCGGCACACTAAAGAGATAGGCAATGGTGGGAGACTGATGTGGTTGCGCCCCGCTGCTCTGCTTATTGCCGTGTGAAGCCGGCGCCATGGTGGGAGACTGATGTGGTGGCGTAGTGACTGAATCCGGAGATTGTAGGAAGAAGATGACGGATTGACGGAGAGGGAGATGGAAGAGGCTACTAATCTTGGAAAAGGAAAAAAATAAATATAGAGAGAGATGAAATTAGATCTACAAACTCAAAAGGAAAAGGGAGTAAACGGAAGGGAGTAAATCAGGCCTATAGTGGAAATGTCTGGTCAAAAACAAAAGTACAGAGTAAATGGATAATTTCGGTCTTCTCGGTCCGACCGAATGGCAATCGGGTCTGGACCAGACCGAAACCCGAAATTTTAAAAAGCTGGACCGAAGACCGACCCGAAATTTATTCGGTCTGGGTTCGGTCTGGACCTATCGGTCCGATTCGGTTGGTTTTTTCGGTCTGGACCTAAACATGAACAGCCCTAGTGAAGAGGGCTTGACTACCTTCTTCATGCCCCCAACCTCACAAGGGCATATGTTATGGCGAGTTTGATGAGGGCTTCATGGGGCGTAAAGAGGACAAGAGATATATTTGGAGTGATAATCATGTGTTGTGGAGGGCATGATGAAAAGTGATGAGCTTGAGATGTAAATTATTTTGATTACTTTTTTTTAAAGGAAAAAAAGTTGACGGTTGCTAAAAAAAGTTAGCTCACTAAGGGCAAAACTAAGATTTAACATCCTATTTTTATAAACATTTTCAGACATATCGTTTTTTCATAAACACTAGCAGACCATGTAATTATCACTTGTGATAGATGAAATAAATGATTAATGTTAAACATATTCTCTATGATAACTACTTTGTATCTAGAATATATAGAGATTAATTTTTCACAATCATCATAATTCCATAATCATCACACTTCAAATTTCATTTTTTAGTTATAAATCATCACACTTCAAATTTCATTAATTAGTTATAGTAATCTTTTGTTCTTGGACTTTTGAGAATCCTCTTAATTTTTTACTATTTTTTCTTGAAGATTCTTTTTTTTTAAAAAATTGTATACTTGATATTGTTTTTCATACTTTTAACTATATAACAATAACACAATTTAAAGGAATTTAGAGTTTTTAAAAACTTATTGAAAGTCGAGTACGGGTGAGGTCGATCAACTATACTGATTCAAACTCGATTTGACATCGATTTAATTTTTTCCAGATTAGTTTTTTATTTTTAATTTTTCGATTCAAATTTTGATGTTATAAGCTTTTGTAGGTCGGTAAAGGAGCGCAATATATATCATACGACCGGTTGTATATTATTTCCCATACATCCGCGATGAGTACTTTATTTATGAATAATTCAATGCTCATTTTCGTGTAATTGAAAATTGATTTTTGAATAACTAAATACTCAATATTCTAAAATTTAACTATATGTGAAAATGACTATTCTAAGACTTAAAAAATGAGTAGTAGAGTAATCTAAGTGGATTTACTAGGAACATAGTAGAATTGGGTGGGATACTGGGATTAGACGTGAAAAAAATGACCTGACCTGTTTTTGACTCGAGACCCAACCCGAAAATACAGTGTTTTGAATAAAGGTTTTGCTGACCAAACCCGAAGTTGACCAAATCTGAAATTACCGATTAAAAATGGGTCAAACCTGACCGAATTCGACGTTAATGTGAGAATTTTTCAAAATCATATGCTTTAATATGTAATATAATGTTATAAAAATAAGATTTTAATTACATTTCTTTGTTTTTTACTCATTTTTAATTGATAAACTTATATTTTCATACAAAATTTTAATGATATCACATAATTATCTTACTTTTTTCAAAATTTTTTGTATATTTAATTTTTTATTCGTAATATTGATAATTAGTTATAAACATTACTTAAAATATCAAAAAATAAATGAAAGGTATAGCCCGTTGGATCGATCCGAACCCAATAACATTGAATAAGAACATCTAGTTCTCAATCCTAACCTAAACTTACCTACAACCACAAGAACCTTGGGTTCGACCTGACTTACCTTTTTGTCCCTGCTCTAGGTGCTCCATATTTACGGTTCCGACCAGGACCCGTCCATCTCCCGTCGACGCTAACGAACTCTTCAATTCCCCGCGCTCCACTCCTTAAGTATCTTGAAGAGTGAGAAATCGCTATAGCTCTTTGAAATTCCATTTCACAATCCACTTTTTATTCCCTCACAAGGTAAATTTTAGTTTCAAATTTGGTTTTGTAAGCTTTGGGAATTCCAGCATTAATTTTTAACATATATAAGCCCCAATTCGTTTACATATAGTTTCGAAATTATAGTACTGATTTTTTTGTATGGTTAATGATTTGTTACAGATTTTAGACTGTTATTTACTCCGTAATTATTACTCCCACGTTTCAGACAAGCAACTCAGAATTATGTTTGGTTTTTTTATTACTTAGTTGGAGTAATTTGTATGAAGTATTCTTTGATACTTGTATGAACTACTATCTTCAAGAGGTGGGGAACTAATTAGATTTCTTTTTAATGTGTGGTGGGATTATTAGAAAATTACATTGTATTGATAAGTTTGAAGTTTATACTAATTGGTATCTGAATGATTCCGCTATTGTGTGTTTAGACAACAACAACAATAACCCAGTTGAATCCCACAAGAGTAGGGTCTATGGAGGGTGTGCGTACGCAAAACTTATCCCTATTTGAAAGTAGAGACTATATCCAAGAGACCCTCAACTTGAGCAACACAAATAGCACAACAAGCACAAAAAGTATTACTCTTTGGGATTGCAATTTGCAAGAGCAACTAGAATAATAGAGACAAAAGGAAAGATATAATGTCATAAATGATTGATGTTTAAACACGGGGTGCTATGTTCATTGCCTAAGATGGCCGTGTTTAGAATTGCAACGGTTTTAATATTGGAGCCGGTGTGGTTGTAATGAGTTTTGTGAATTTAAGGGGAAAAAAGTTTTTCTTTGTTCTCCATGGACTCACTCCCATGTATTTTCTGTGGTGTTCTGTGGCTGAAAAAATAGACCGAACCCAGACTGATGATATTTAGGTCCGGTCTTCAGTCCAGCTTTTTTAATATTTCAAGTATCGGTCCGGTCCAGTTTGGTCCCGAATGCATTTCGGTTCAGACCGAAATAACCAAATTCCATCAATATACAACGTGTTCAAGAAACCTCATCCCATTCGTATATGTTACTTTGCTGAGTAATATTTTATTTCCTCTGTCCTAAAAACTTTTCATGTTTTGACTTTTTTTGATCAAATAGAGACACTCTTTGACCACAAATTAAACTTAATCTAAATAAATAAATAATATAGGAATTTGATATATCAAAACTTTATCTTAAGATGAACACAATTATATTGAATTCGTATTATAATTGGTTAGGATGGAGTATCACTTCTCTCTGCTCGTCTTCTTCCTCCGATCTATGATTTCTCTGTCCATTCTTTAAAATCCAACCTGGGTAGACAATGAATAGCATCGCATCTTTGTTCTCACACCTCTGCCACGTCGCCTGAGAATCAATTGAGGCTAACAAAGGGTTCTATTAGGATTTAGGAGTTTCTGGTATGCAAATTTAGCCTATCTTATACCAATAGTCAATTTAAATTTTCATTTTTAGGTTTCAATTTAATGGCATGCGAATCCAGATTCTGCTTAATTGGTTTTTTTTGAATCTTTATCTTCAATTTTACATCTAAGAATGTAATGGAGTTCACCCATATATTTTGGAGTACTGTGATTCTGCAAAGTTACCAGAGTACAATAGTGACTTTTCAGTCTGTAGATATACTAATGGAGTATTGAACAATTACATCCCTAATCTCCCTGAAAATGTAGTTCACTTTGGTACAAGTGCATCCCTAATAAACCGATTCCCCATGATGTTTTTTTGGTACAATTACAAGCTGCAATTCTTTTATTTTTTATAGGATAGCGTGCTGCATTTTTTTGTACGATTGCATATTGCAGTGTTTCAATTACTTGTATATTCAGTAACATTTATATATTCATTTCTTAAAAAATGTAAAAATCAAGATAATTTGGTCTTTTTGGTCCATATCGGTTTGGTCCAAAGGTTTCCGGTCCAGTCCAGCCTAAAACCGAACACTTATAGGTCCAGTCTTCGGTCCTTATTTTTTCCATTTCAATTTCTGGTCTGATCCGGTTCTGGACCAATGAACAGCCCTAGGCATTATGCTGTTAATATGAGCCCAGATTTATCCTCATACTTGATTCAATGTCATGAAAGGTTTGTTATACCCGCCTTAGTTATAAGTCTTAGTTGTGTGAATTTGTTTTTTGGACAAAAAAATCTCATGATGCCCATCACCAAGAGTTGACAAAATGTAAGTCCACCTTCCTAATTGTAACTTTGGCCTCTTTACCGCTATCCTCTTTCAAGCTACTCTCTATAAACTTCTAGGACTTAAAGAGTCAATTTGTTTTAAGTTGTACATGTTACTCATACTTGTCAAAAATGTCAAGGTTCGTAACTTGGCCCCTACAATAGGAAATAACTAGTCGTGGAGGGATATGTTCTCGTGGATGGGTAGAGGGAGAAGAGGGAAGAAATGAAATTGGAAAAGATATGTTACATATTAGAATCATATGCCATACATTAGAAAGGGTTATTATGGTAATAAGTATAGGACCACCTATCTTATTTTTCCGCATTCAAACAACAATTAAAAATACCAACCATCAGGATCTTGTAACTAGACAAAATAATTTTACAAGACATTATCCCCCTATGTAACTACGTTATATAGCCTGTCCCAATCCCGGATAAAAGAGGAGGGTTGTGTTAGGTCTCGGCAACCAGTGTAAAACTTTGTCGAATCTTCATGACATTATCCCCCTATACCTACAACAAACTTCCTACCAGTCTACCACAAGTTACTTATATTTACCCATCTTATTTGGACTTGATCTACATGTTCCCAAAATAGCCTCAGTGTCACTTCATTTTGTACCCACTTTTATAGTTTTATCTTTACTCTCCAAAATGCTAATCCAAAATGAAGCCTTGTGTAGCATATAGTAGTACAGACTTAGGAGCATGTTTTGTTATATTTTTAAAAACACACACCTAACATGTTTCCCCGGATGGAGACTTGGAGCAAAATGCACACCAAACTTTCTTTGCTTCTTACTTTCAATGATATTTTGGATACTAACCAAAGTTATCACTGCATCGCCTAGGCGTCTCGGAGCACTGCTGTTCTTGCCATGGTAGATCTACTCCCTTGGTTTCCCTTTCCTTGTCTAGGCATTCTGGCATAGCGCCAAATGACTAGACACCCATTTTAAAAAAAAGTCGCAAGCCAGCCGTTTACCCTTTAATTAAAAACCCTAGCCACTGTAAGTACATCTCTCTCTCTGTGGTCATCGATTGCATATACGCAATATCATTATCTTTGTCATTGCGTTATTTTTCAATTGCTTTATACTCAGTAAGTGGCTTTCATGCTTTACAATTACTGTATTTTATTTCTATTGTAATGTTCTTTTTTCAAATTCTTATACATAGTACACTGAATGTAAAAAAAAGTATTCATTTTTTCCCTTGTGCTTAATTATTTTTTCAAAAATGTTTTATGCTTAATTTATTTCCAAATTCCAATACAAGTTGGTAATGCTTTTATTCCAATTTATCTGTCATTTTACTTTTCAACCCTTTTATCTTCTAGTTGGTATTTTTTCCATTTTTCATTTGAACTTTGAAATTTACAAGAGCATATTTGAATTCTTTTTTTTTTGTATTTTGTTGTAATTGTGAAGTAGTAGTTGGTCAATGCAACTTTCGATGTTCATCATTGGTCATTTGGAAACAGCCGCTCTATGTTTTAAACATAGGGGTCACTGCATACATCCGACCCCCTTACCCCACAATGAGCGGGAGCCATTGAGGCACTGGGGTAATGTTGTTGTCGTTGTTGTTTGTATTTTGTTGTAATCTTGGTACATGCTTTCTTTCATGCTGAATTTAAAATAAAAGATATACCAACTGCAACATATAATGTGATATATTTATATCAGTGTTAGTAGTGTATAGCATTTCTCATGTACTACTTGTTGACTAATTGTCCCCTAGGCATCATGGCGGTACACTGGCGCCAGGACTCGTCTTGGCGCCGTGATAACTATGATGGCAACTCCAATAATGTATCAAAAGTCTAACGAGCCTTCTGTTTATTTTAGGGTTGAGAGTGGGTACTTCTTGACCCCTCAAACTCCAGCATAGTTTAGTTTGGATTGGGTTGTATTTTTTGTGTGGTTGTGGAGAGACTTGGAGCCACTTGATTGTACGTTCTTCGTGTGGACTCACCCCCTGTTTAACTGTTATTGGTCAGCTACTCATATATCTTCCTGCTAGTGCTGGCCTTCTCCGCGCTCTATTGCTTCTCCGTCAGTAGCTAGAGTTGGGAATTAGAATGAAGGTGAAGGTGATTTGCCAGAAAGTGTGTGATTATGTCCGGTATGACCTGAAAGAAATTGCATTCCCTTCATCTTTACCTGACCCGCCTCATATAAAAAAGCGCAGGAAATTAACTTGGAAGGAGCGATTCCTTGTGAGTATTTCTATGACACAATGCTTGTCTCAAAGAAATTCATTTCTCTTGTTTGAATTGAATTCATTCTTGTCTAAACATTGTTAAATTTGCATCCATTGCTCTCTAAAATTCGTCCCTTTTTATGCAAATAATGGTCAACACATTTCAGAAAATCTGATAAAAGTTTAGAGAGACGACAGTTAGTCTATATGATCAACGGTAAATCTCTGTCTTGTTCACTGTGATCCGACCTACGAAATTTGAAATTATTGTCCAGGTGTTGAAGGAAGCTTCTAGGCTTTATGCTGCAAGCTGGGTAAGGGACATTGGTCCTGAACTTCGACCTAATGACTACAAAAAGAAACAATACGATGAAGAGATACTCAATGATGAAAATGGTGCCACTAAGCAGAAGGAGCCCTCAACATTGGAGGACCTAGGTAAAGAACCTCAGCCACCTTGTCCACCTTATGTTAATTTATTTGTGTGCCCTTATTTGAATGACCTCTTTTTTTATTCAATTTCCTCTCCATTGTTTGTGTTTTTTTAACCACCAGCCGTGGCTGCAAGAGGCGGCATGGAAACTCTCAGGCCCGCACTGCAGCGGGTATATATGACTAGAGCCTCAGCATACAGAGATGCTCTCAAAAGCTTTATTCAAGGATATCAAGAAGGCATTCAGCAAGTCATGGAGAAGAAAGAAGAGACTACATCTCAGGAAGACAAGGATTTGCACAAGGACAAAAGTTGACCTGCTAAGCCAAATATGTGAGTTGCTTCTGGATGACTGATAAAAATATAAAATTGCATAACCTATTTTTTTTTTGTGTGTGTGAAGACAACCTATGACTAAAGTTTGGGGACCGAGGGAGTATTAAGTATTTGAATGAAAGTCGCATGATGTGTGAAACTAATTGTCCATTTACCAAATTTAGTAAACAAAGCAATAGAAATGGAGAAATGCTTTGGTCAAAGAACTTTTGATTTTTCTTAGCATTGTAGTCTGTATTTATTTGCATTCCAAAAAATCAAAGAGTGAGTTCAATTCCTAGTTTTATTCAAGCAAAAACCCCGACCTCATATGTTGTTTAAGGGTGTTTGGTACTGATTTTAACAATAGTTCTCAATTCTTCCTTGGATAGAAATAGTTTAAAATATTTGGTAGTGTTTAAACTATTTGATAGTGTCAAGTTCTTAATTTCTTTGAGACATAAAAAACAAAAACTCGGAAACGCTTCTAAGATGCTTTTATATTTTGTTGTCAAAATGATCACTTTTCAAAAAAATATATATATAGGGCGTTCGAAGTGTGTTTGAAAACTATTTTTGATCTTTTGCTTTGTTAAAATTCACTTGAGCCTGCTTGAAAATTTAATCTATTTCTACTTATAGCTTATGGCTTCACAAGTTTAAAATAGCTTCCAGCAATGCTTTCAACTAGAACTGGCGAATCGGTCGGTCAGGTCGGGTTCGGGTTTGGTCACTTTGGGTTCAGGTTATTTTGGGTTTGGGTCAATTCGGGTTCGGCTTGAGAACTGTATGTTCATAACCCAGTGTCATCCAGTTTGGTTCGACCCAACGGGTTATGACTTTGGTTTTTTAAATTTTTAAAATCACATTAACACTTAAATTTAAAATATCAAAAAATATGCATTAAATCTATAAGATTATTTTATTTTAAATTATGAAATAATTTTTAGATATATAAATCAATATAAGGAATTTAAAAAATGTTTAAATTTTAGAAAAAAAGTAAGATAATTATACAATATCATTAAAATTTTGTTTGAAAATATAAATTTATACACTAAAAACGAGTAGTAAAGTGTAAGATTTTGAAAAACTCTTACTTTAGCAGGTCGGTCGGGTTCGGGCTCGGTTGGGTTTGACCCGTATTTAGCAGGTCATTTCGGGTTTTGTCAACTTCGGGTTCGATCATCAAAACCTTTGTTTAAAATCCACTGTTTTCAGATCGGGTTTTGGGTCAAAAACAGGTTGGGTCATTTTTTGTCATTTCTACTTTCAACCAAGTTAAAAACACTTTTTTATTCGAAACTTTTCCTACAACGAATATTTGTCGTAGCAATGAATCGAACTCCGTGGTCACGGGCAAGGTAGATGCCCATATTTCCCGGCCCACCCTCCCAAACGAGGCCCATATCGAAATTCTGACAAGGCCCAATACAGTATTTTGTTTTACAACGCGCCTGCTCTCTCTCTCTCTCTCTCTCTCTCTCTCTCTCTTTCTCCCCGAAGTCCACACACAGAAGGCACCGAGGTGAGTAGCAGCGAGCTGCGGCGGCGGTTGGCGATGAAGCTCACCGGAGACATACCGCCAAATCAAACAATATACATTAAGAACTTAAACGAGAAGGTCAAGAAGGAAGGTATTTCTCCTCTCCTATGTTGTACTGTCGTCTTTACAAATTCGGCTCTAGGGTTTCACTGAATCGTTCAACCTTCGTCCTCAGCTGCTAATTTCTACTTTATCTTCTCTCAATTCGCGCATGTGTATTCGTCTGGACAACCGAAAATTAGCGGATAGCTTTTTATATGCTTTCACCACTTCGTGGGATAATGATGGGAAATTCTATGGTGGCCAATGGGTCAGGTGGTCTGTGATACCAAATTAACAAGGATTCTAGGAAAATAAAGGTTTTCGAAGAATCAAAATGCAAATTCAGGGAAGAACTTCCGAGAGATTTTACCAGAGAGCAATGAAGAGGAAGAAGGAGATCAATTATTCATTCATGTCTTACAAGAATACCGCACATCTCTAAATATTGATACAAGCTCCACATATTAAACTCTTCCAGCTCCACATTAAACTTGTATCAGTCTGGGCTCTACCATGTAGTAGCATTAGAACTGCTTGTCGGTCCATACCTATGATAATTGAATTGTGCGTTCATGAACACCTGCAAACGAGTTTTCTCCAAAAGAAATTTGAGCATTCACATATCTGTATAAGCATTCTTTATAAGAAATTGAGCATTCACATATCTGTATAAGCATTCTTTATAAGAAACTGAGCAAAATATGTAAACATAAACACGTAAAGGCAAGAATAGGAGCATTCTTTGGAGGAACAATGATCAATCTTCAAAATAAGGCCGGATGTAGGATAAGTTCTTTTCAGATAGTGGTTGGTTCCCTAAGAATGGTCGAGGTACTTGAATAGGACCTTTGGTGGTTCTGTTTCCGTTTATTACAGTCCACTTGAAGATGTGGAAGGAGTGTGATGTTGCATCTCCCATTACAAAGCTTTTGTCATGGAAATGCAGCATAAGGGAATGAAAAGGCAACATGTCTACCAAAAACCGGGAAAATTATGCTTCAAAATTCATACAGGCTCTCCACAAGTAGTTTGCTTGTTCAACATTGTCATTCACGCCACAATAGCTCTCTGACCATTCCAACACCGAGATCATTTAGCATTGCCATACCAGTTAGGCTCGCTTGTGTTTGTTCTTATGCGCTAATAAATGAAACCACACATCTTTCTTGCGTGCTGTGTAATTGAAAACGTAATTTGCACTTCACCTGAAAATCTTGTACAAGTACTTACAAGTGTTGGTGTTTTGGGTTATCAGATTTTGGGCCTCATATCCTCGTACCCCTATTTGGTTCCCATAGTGATACACTCCGTATGATATATAAGCAATTTTTACTAAAGGTAGCTTCCTGTAATTTTTTATGTGCACCATATGGTGTTTTAGTGTGTATATGTATCCCCAAACTAGTGCTGCAGAAGCTTACAATTGCTCTTCTGTTATTACTTACTAGTATGTGAAGAATTGAAAATTTGAAATATACTCCCCGTTTTTTCAATTTGCTAGATTTTGCTGTCCACTTCTCATCATAGTATGCTTTCTATGACTCTGAAGCATCACATTCTTTTATGACTCCATACTTGTAAATTCCCCTCACACACAAAAAACAAACCAAAACCTTTATGCTCCAGCGGACTTGGTTGCACCGTTGCAGGTGTTTTAACTTTTTAGGTGTCTATTTTTTTCTCTTCACTCTGAGTTGTATGTGACTGATGCATTTTATCCTTTTGTTGGCAGAGTTGAAGAGGTCTCTGTATTGTTTGTTCTCACAGTATGGCAGGATAGTGGACATTGTTGCATTGAAGACAGCCAAGCTTAGAGGGCAGGCGTGGGTTGTCTTCAGTGAAGTTACAGCTGCTAGTAGTGCAGTTAGACAGATGCAGAATTTCCCGTTTTATGATAAACCAATGGTTAGTTGCACGTTTGTATAACATACTCTGATACTCTCTTTCTATAGCAGTTACATCAAAATGCTCCGAAGATCATATAGCTTTGCACTTGTTTGACCTAATGCAGCGGATACAATATGCGAAAACAAAATCTGATTGCATTATTAGAGCGAATAAGGCATATGAAAAGAAGGATGATGAAAAGGGTAAGATATTCATTCCAGTGTTGTAGGTCAAACCTAACCTTATTTCCAGTCTATGTATCTTTCTGGTTTTCTGTATTTAGATTGTCTTTGTATTGCATCCTTGGCACATCCATGAGTTATAATCTCACCTGCATTAATGTCCAGCTGACAAGAAGAAACACACTGAAGAAGCACATCAGACTGGTGCAGCTAATGGCCCACGAGGCGCAAACGGAGGCCCAAGTGTAAGATTTTGAGAACCTTGTGGTTCACATATGTCACTTTAAGGGTGTGTTTGAGGTTTGTATAATTGTCGGAATTTTTGTTTCCCTGCTAATAAAAGAATTACGAAATTCCTGCAGGCTGCAGCACGGCAAGGAAAGCCAGGATCCCAAGAAACAACAGAGCCAAACAATATACTGTTCATACAGAATCTGCCCGACGAGACGACGAGCATGATGCTGGAGTTGCTGTTCAATCAGTACCCTGGTTTTAAGGAGGTTCGGATGATAGAGGCGAAGCCGGGGATTGCATTTGTGGAATTCGAAGACGATGTCCAGTCCTCTGTTGCCATGCAGGCCCTACAAGGCTTCAAGATCTCACCCCAGAATCCCATGGCTGTCACCTTTGCCAAGAAATAGGCCGCTCCCACACACAGGGAAGGTGACATGCTTTTTGCTTTCCAATATTTCTCTCTTGTGACCGGTTACAAAAGTCTTGTAATATTTTTTTAATGTGATTCTCATGCCATGACCTCATTTCGTACTCTCATCGTCACTAGACTTTCCCATGCCAATTTTAAGATACGAATGAATTAAAACTAGACAAAACTCTAAATTGTCGAAGCTCAAAAGTAATGTAGTCAAAATATTCCCATCCGTTTAATTTAACTTCTTTTTTTGGGTCCAATAAGATGAAATTTGATTATCAGTTAATATAAAAAAACTCCGTGTATTTCATATTAACTCTAAGCGCCTGTTTGGAAAAAGCGTCAGAATTACCGTTAGCGTTTTGAAAAGGTTAAATATAGTGTAGCGTTTTGAAAAGGTTATCTATAGCATTAGCGTTTTCAAAGTTAATTTACACTGTTAATTTTTTATATCTAAAACACTAAAATTAACTGAAAATGCTATTTCCAAATGGGCTCTAAATGGTTGTGAGGATCATGCAATGAGATTTGAGAAAGTACAATATTCTATATGAATGATTTAATTAAAAAATATTTTAGAAAACTAAAAGTACCGAAAGACATTTATTTTATAGAGATAAAGCATATTTAACATTTGATATAATTTCATATTTCAGTTTTATTTTCATAAATTTCTCCACGTACCTTAATAAGTCGCAGTTTTTTTTTGGGTCCAAAAAGCATAACTTTGTTCACACATAAAGTCCTAATATAACTCTACACAAAGGATTCCCGACTCCGTAGAAGGGTACGTCAATTTGTCTTCGAAATTCTAAATAAGTTTATCATATATTCCATAGTTTAAAACTATATCCTTCTGTCCCAAAATGCTTGTCCCATTACGCAAAATGAATTTTTTAAGTCTTTTTAATTTATTTTATTTAAGATTAGTATAAAATAAAAAGTAAAATTTACATATTCAAAAAATACGTCAAAATTTTTCAAAACAAGGGGTGATAATAATATTTTATTTTATCATATAATCGATTAAATAAAAAAATAAAAAAATTCATTAATTTTAAGTAGTGAACTGTGAGATTTTTTAGAGTAATTTATTATGTTTTAAATATTTGATCAAATGATGTTATTTGCCTTATTATAAATTGACATTAAAAATATTAATATATGGAGTGCATAAAATGAAATGATAAGGCCTTTTATTTTTCAACTTTTATTATTAGGCCTTGACAGTCTGGGTTTCATATTAAATAAATATTCTTTAAATATACTAAGATGAGCTGAAAATATTAGACTTATCATACCACACATTTGAGATTTTAAGTCGATCCTAAATTCCTAACAATGTTCATTTTTTAAGCCCCTAATAATATTCATCATTACACTGATTCACAATTTCTGGAATTATGGACTTATGGCATAACTTTTTAATCAAGATATAGTATAAATTAATATATGGATGAATTAAATAATGGTCACGGCGTCTAGACGTGTAGCTTTCAATAATCGTTGATAAATGAAGTCAACAAAAATTATGACGCCCAATAAAATGATCTATGAACGTACTACAAATTGTCAAAAAATAATGCTACTCCAAGTTAGGAATATTTAAAAAGTTGAATTCTTAAGTCTCTCACGCTATAATCTCCATAATTCACGCTACACTAAATCTAATAAATATTTTTTTGGCTATTTCCGGAGAAAAAGATAATATAATCTTGCTTCCTTTAATTGTTTTGGCTTTAATTTTATTATATTTCTATAAATGTTGAAAATCTAAAAAAAAATTATAATTGAAATTTGTGTAATGGTAAGATGACAATACTTTTGAGTTATTCATTCCTTTTTTAATCAAATAAATAAATATAAACTTTATTTTACGACAAACGAAAGGAAAATATATGGATGGAGTCGTGAAACTTTTTACCGGGTGATAAAAACAATAAAGTGATAATATAATTATTTAATTCACCACTTGTACTACGAGTAAAAAATTGCAATTATTTTAATTTTATAAAAATTACATTGTTTTTTTACGGTGAAAATACTAAAATCACATTATTTCAGTTTTCTTTACTTTAGATTTTTTCTTGTTCTCCCCACTTTAAATGAATCTCTCATCATTCATAGATCATTGAGGCTAAATTGTTAACACAACTTTTAGTACGAGGACTAGAATTTAATATGGAGTATTTATTTGTGGTACATCTTATTTATTTATGCGTGACATGCCAAATACATTAACACGTCTTTGAAAAAATAAATCCAAGTATTAAGGCCAACTTAATGCAATTTTGATTAAAAGGATTAGATGAAGATACTCTTTTGCCAGCTTTATCATTTTTATTTTGTTTATATGATAATTTTATTATTTCTTGTATGAACTTCAGAAATTTATGAGAACAAAAGTGAAAATTATATTTTAAAAAGATTTGTCTTATTTGTTGTGTGGCCCATATATAGTTTGGATTGGGCAAAGATGCCGGTAGACGTTTCACAGTTGGCAATGACAGAGAATAACAAGAGATAGACCTGAATTTGATTTCTAGCAATTGCACTGGGAGACACTTAAACTCAGTATACGGTCTTAGCAATTACCAGGTTCAGATCTCACTCCATGCTCTAATGTACGATTAAAGTCTAATTTACCTCATCTTATTAACCATCCAGCCGGGTGTGAGAGAACCCTCGGGGATGGGGCTGAATTCTTTTTCTTTCTTTTTTTTGGATTAGGCAAAGATGACAACTTGATTTGTCCTTCAAGTTCTATGGGTTGGTGTTGAAATATTGGAATAATAATATTGCTCCTTGAATTATTGAGTACATGATAGAATATATATGGGATAGACTTCTAACACAACTAGGAATAGAGAATGGAAACTAACTAACATACAACATCTACCACAAATAGGATTAGGAAGCTGACTAATAATGAAACACTACTATAACCAATACTACAAGAAGTACTATTATTATTATTGTCTAACATTCCCCCTCAAGCTGAACTCTGGCTCAAGCAAGAGGAAGCTTGGACACTAGCTGGCATGGAAACTGGAAATTTTGAGAAGAGAGAAGTCTGACATGCGCCGGTGGCTGCTCACGTCGTTGGAGAAGAGAGAAGTGTGGCGCGCGTTGGTGGCTGCTGACGTCGTTGGAGAAGAGAGAAATTGACGTGCGCTATTAGCTGCTGACGTCAGTGAAGAAGAGAGAAGGTTGACGTGCACTTGTAGCTGCTGACGTCGAAGAAGAAGAGAGAAGGCTACTGGAGATGCATGTTTGACTGAAGATCCTTGACATTTTTTGTCTTTTTCTTGGATCCGGGCAATGCCCTATTTCCTTCTTGAAGGGGTGAGTTGTAGAGGTCTTATTTTCTCTTTCACTACTTTCCCTTTTGGCTTTGCTTTTGTGCTGATTTACTTTGGTTTTTTTATTGGTTCAATAGAAGAGAAAGAGAAGGGAGGTTGATGATTACAATGAGTGATTTCAGAGAAAAAATAGGTTAAGAATTGGTGAGGGAAAAAAAAATTTTGGGTCAGAGATTTTGATATGGTGAATTGGAAAGAAACAACAATTTTTTTTTTCTTTTTTTTGAGAAGATAGGATGATCTGAAAGAGTTTGTGAGGAGTTGGGTTTTTTTTAAGAACCATGGAGATGACAAGAGAGAAGTTCCTCCTTTGATATTTTTTTTTGTGTGATTTCAACAAGGGTTTTTTTTTTCTTTTTTTTTCATTTGAGTGAAGAAGTTGATTTGATGATAAAGAAGGAAAAGAAAATAGAGGTGATTAGGGTGGAGCCGCCGTCGCCGGAATTACCGGCGGCGGCGGGAGCAAAGAACTTTTTTTTTAGGTCACCAAGAGCGGTGGCTCTGATACCATGTTGAAAAATTGGAATAGTAATATTGGTCATTGAATTATGAAGTACATGATAGAGTATATATAGGAGAGACTCCTAACACAACTAGGAATAGAGAATGGAAACTAACTAACATACAACAACTACCACAAATAGGATTAGGAGGCTGACTAATAATGAAACACTACCATAACCAATACTACAAGAAGTACTATTATTATTATTGTCTAACAGTTGGATATATGTTGGGACCCCCCACCAGGCACCAGGTATTAATTTAACACACATAAGAACAAGAAATATGTACACACTAAACTTAGATAATGATACAAATACATTCTCCAGTTTCAAGAGTATGTATCACCACTTTTGGATCCAAAGCTCTAATGGGCCAATTTGATTTAAGATGAACCCAAAAAAATTAAACTCATCTCACATCAATCAATCAGTCACAATGATACATACATATACACATGTGTAGTCTCCATGACAGAGCAAAACCAATTAATTATTGCCAATAAAAGCAAAACTAACTAATTATTGTCAATAAATTGCACCAACCAAAGATTATTATGATAGCTGGGGTTCTTTAAACTTCCATTATGAGTGTCATAATATGTCATTTGGCAAGTTAATTAAGGATCTTTTGGCTCCACAAACTCCTCAGCTCCCTCCTAATCACTCCCCATTTTCCTTTATTTTGTGATTATGCTACAATAATGTCATAATGAATATTGTAGAATAAAGTGAATATAGAATAGAAAAACAAGTTTAAAAAATTTAAGAATGAGCATATAACATGATTATAGTATTATGACACTCATGATGAGCATAAAAACAGTCTTATTGTTACTATACTTTGTATTTTTTTAAAAAAAAAATTGTAGATCCCTCTTTTACTTTGCTAAATTATGCTCCATAATTCATTTCTTGAACTGGCCTCTAACAATCAAGAACTTGAATTTTACCCTAAGATTTCAGCAAATAAACATTGGCCCAATTTTTTTCTTCTTCTTCTTGAGCCTCCAATGAATGGTGGATTTGATTTTCTTAAAAGATGAAAATTGAATCAAAAGTGTGTGATGGGAAAAAAACCTAAACTTTGAATCTTGACGATCGGTGGAGTTTAATCTGAAGTGGCACTGGATTTCTTGCAGTGGGCAATGGCTGCTTGAATGGCGGACTGCAATTCCTCCATGGTGCTCTCGCTTGATGAAGAAACAGCGCCGCCCGAAGTCGCCGACGGCAGAAGAACGCCGCTGTTCGCCGGGGATGCCCTCAGTGACGCCGGCGCCGAGCTCCTCCCTCTGATCATATTCCCGTCTTTATTCTTC